TGTAGCCCAAAGCATCTGGGAGGAGTCACCACATTAAGTAAGTCTAATGTATGCCATGGGATATTGACATAGCTTATACCAGGGGTGGGCAAATTGTGACCATCCAGAAGTTTTGGCCCACAGCTCCCACTTCCCTAGCCAGCTAAAGTTTAATATCTGAAGCACAGTTTGCCATATGGCTTGAACAGGACCAAATTCTTGACTAGGTTAACACGTTAAATATATGGATGACCACAGGTTGCCCAATTTTGGTGTATATATGTATTACTCCAAGTAATGTCTTGAAACATACACTATATGTCACCTCAGTTGCTTGGAGTAGTGAGGGGAAGCTTAATATAAATATTATCTGGTAGAAGCAAGGTTTCTTTTTCTTAAGAGCAAATTCTTGAACTTGCTTGCCTATTATAAGCAGTTGCCTGTAATAAATATACATGTCTGCACACTTCCAAGGACCACACTTTATCGAGTTGCTATGTACAACTATACCTGTGCTGTGCTTGATTATCTTCCAGGGATGAACAAATACTTCCAGCCTTTCTATCAGCCCAATGAATGTGGTAAAGCACTGTGTGTAAGACCAGATGTAATGGAATTAGATGAACTCTATGAGTTTCCAGAATATTCACGAGATCCCACCATGTACCTAGCTCTGAGAAACCTCATTTTAGCTCTGTGGTACACAAACTGCAAAGTAAGCATGCATCGACATCTAATTATGTTCTTAAAAAGATCATATATTCTCATCTTTAGTATGTTAATATTTGGGGAAGTGGGGAGGCCCTTCTTTGTCCAACAACCACTGGAGGCATAGGCAGAATTGCAAGAGAGACTGTCTTGGCGGTTGCTCTCAAGCTTTAGAATTTCCTGCCAAGGAAAGGCAGGCTAGCTCAGCCTCTGGGGTATTTCTGCTGGCAGACAAAGATGCTGCCATCAAGGGTGGCACCTATTTCCACCTGAGAGGACTGGCCTGGGAAATTAGCTTCCTGCTGGGTGGGGAACTCCCTTGGCCATATCAGGCCTGTAGGCTGGCAGTTGCCCATGGCTGATTTAAGGGGATTATTGTCAAGGGGCTGTTGAAGTAAAACTCTTGCTATGGCAGCTTTGGCAAATGCATGTAAGCACATGTTGTGAGTGGGGAAAGTATATTCCTCAAATGCAGGGAGCTCTGGGCAATTCCAGGCCTTAAATGTAAATGTGTGAAGGATTGGAGTAGATTGTTTTGTTTTGTAAAAGACCATTTTGAAACAGATGGGCTTTTTAAAAGACTCAGTCCATTTCTCAGCGAATATTAGGTGTTTAAAGTTTAACATCTGAAGCACAGTTTGCCATACGGCTTGAGCAGGACCAAATTCTTGACTAGGTTAACAGGATTGGGTCACTTTTTTTTTCTCCTGAATATACAGGAACCGCTAACCCCTCAGAAATGTACTCCTTACATCATTGTTCGAGGACTTGTGCGCATCCGTTGTGTGCGGGAGACTGAACGAATACTTCATTTTATGACCAGGAAAGGTCTCATTAATACAGGGGTTTTATTGGTTAATCCGGACCAGCCTCTTCTTCCCAAAGAATACCACAATGTAGGTATTTGAAAATTTGTCATACTAATCAGCTAGCTTCAGAAAACTCTCATGGGACAAGGAGAGGCCTGGTGAAGGAAGAAAGGACTCTCTTTAAGATTAAGGGTGAAGAACATAATGGATCTCTAGAAATACTTGCCCAGTGTCCAGTCTCCTCTTCAGATGGACTGTTTCTAAAGGGACATCAGATATTGAGCAACAGGCAATTCTCTGGCTGAAGAATTAGGGTTTTAAAAAATATAAGACAAACAAATTGGAGTAGCATTGGTTGATAAGTGACCTGTCCCAGTCTTCTTTCCAAACAGTTGAAGTTGTTTATATGCGATATTTACAATAGCTGTTAATTTGGCCTGATGTGCATACATCTGCAGATACTTGCATGGTGATAGGTGAATTATTCAATCATCATTTTATAAAGCCAGGTTATTATGCTAAGCTCACCATTATGGTTGCCATGAAAAAAATTCAGTGTGAACAAATTTGATTTTAGTGTCTGCTTAGTTTCCTTTGTGTGGCTGCCAGTGGAACACTTCAACAAGTACAGACTTTTATCCAACAGGCATCTAAGCACATGCACTGACTTCTAAAAGTAGTACTACTTGACTTTAAACTATTCTTATTGGTTTCTTCTTCTGTTCATTAAAGAAATCTGTAATCGTGGTTGGAGCTGGTCCAGCAGGCTTAGCAGCTGCAAGGCAACTACACAACTTTGGCATCAAGGTAGGTCCATTTCATATCAAGAACGACATTTTAATTCTTCCATCATTTCATCTTTATGGTTGCATAAATCAGCAAAGTTCTCTGATTTCCATCTCTATGTTGATACCACTGACATATTAGATTACAAATTTTGCATTGTCCTTTTCATATGAAAATCTGGGTGTATTCCAAATGTGTGCCTCTTTGAAAGACATGCGTTCTTCTCCCATTGATTATACCATAGTTGTGTGCATCTTTCAAAAGAATGCATTTTATGCACATTTTTGATGCCTTTAAACCCAAATTCTTGGGTCCACAGATCACATTGTAAGCTCTTATACACCCAACTCTTATTTTGGTGTATTTGCATTCTGCTCCTGCTACCTGATCAGGAACAGTCCTGTTTTAGAGTCCAGGAGGGGACCTAGATAAAAGTTTATTCTCTGGCAGTCTTCAACCTGGTATTGCCTGGATATGTTGGACCACAACTCCCATCATTCTAACTTGCATGGACCTTGCTGGTATCTGGTCAGGGAGAGCGCTTTAGTTGCTGAGACCAAAGAACAAAGCCTGGCCTTGATATTGCTGTGAAGGGTGGGTTTTATCACATGACATGCATGTAGCAAGCTTATTTGGATAATGGTAAGTCTGGCCTGTCTGTGCACAGTTCACTTCTTTAATCAAGAGCCTGGTGTCTGAACTTTGTGGACTGAATCTCTGCCTGATGCTCCAAGGTTCCAAGAATAGGAGGACTCACTGCAGGGTTTTGGAATTATAATTCTCTTGGAAGCTTTCTAAATACTTAGCATACTGAAATATAATCATCCTTTGACCCTCTTGACATCTCTAGGTTATCAAATAAACGTTTGAAAGAGTGATGTCTTATCACAGTGCTTCTTATCCACCAAACCCCGTTTGTGTGTTGCAGGTTGTCGTACTGGAAGCAAAGGACCGAATTGGTGGGCGAGTGTGGGACGATAAAACTTTCAGGGGGATCACTGTGGGAAAAGGGGCACAGATTGTGAACGGCTGTGTCAACAATCCAGTAGCACTAATGTGTGAGCAAGTGGGTTTGCTTTCTCATTGATGAAAACACTGTAGTTATGAAGCATATGGACCAATGCGATCCTTGTAAACAGAAATCTCTGTTCATTTCAGAGACCTTTTTCAGGCTCCTGTATCCTGTGGAGAGCCTGAAGGGCTTGGAATGGAGATGTTTAAGGCCTTAACAGGCAGCTTTGGAAAAATAGCAGTTCCTTAGCTTACTTCACCATTTGTGAAAAAGCTGTGCTAGCTCCCTTGAAGGACTGGTAGTGGGAATGAGTTTCAAAAGGGTGGTTGATATAGTCTAGAAAAATTTTTTAAAACATTGGTTAATGCTATTAACCAGGTTCTCTGTTCTTAAAATTTCTTTTTGTGTGATAGCTGATAGGTATACAATGTTCATGATGCTATTATAATATATTAAATAATTATGATTCTTTGAATGTCATACTCTCAATGAAGACTTTCAGTTTGTTGGTTAGTGGTGCCTTTGCCAGATTAAAAGAGTTGTGTTTAAAATCCAAGAAGCCTTGGTTGTAACAGTACAGTACTATTTGGAGTTGTTGTTAGCTAGTTAGTATCTCTGTTTGTGAATGTTTGCATCACATAACAGTAACTTTGATTATTCTCTTCTCCACCTTATAAAACCTGTTTTTCTAAAGCTGGGCATTAAGATGCATAAAATTGGAGAGAGATGCGACTTGATCCAGGAAAGTGGAAGGATAACTGATCCTACAATAGATAAGCGGATGGATTTCCATTTCAATTCAATCCTTGATGTTGTAGCTGATTGGAGGAAAGATAAAAATCAGCATCATGATATTCCTCTTGGAGGTATGGAGACACAGTTGAGGGCTTCAAAAAGAGATAAAGAGTAATCGACAAAGGAATACTGTAGCTGTGGAACTAGAACCACAAAGGGGTGCAGAAAATCCATTTCCCTTTCCATTTGTTTATTTCCATGAAGCAGCTAAATAATTTTTAAAGCATTTACATCACTAAAGTTTAAAGATTGCTCCAGTACAAAAATTATGATAAGCTGCTCCCCAAAAGAAGCAACCACTGGACATTGGTGAACATATCTAAATGAAGCACTAGCTGTATTGCACTGCACCAGTGAGCTGAATTAGACAATTCATTATTAGGGAAACATAGTATCCAGTATGCATGACTGGTTTTTTTTTCCTGAATAAGACATAGTGCTGTATAGATGCAACAGGGAGAAACCAAGCCTGTGATCCACCGATTAGGCATTTGGTGGTGGTGCCCACAGCAGTTTCTCTAATTCCCAAATGAGCCCACAGGTCCAAAAAGGTTGGGAACTCCAGTTCGAAGGTGGTGCCTGCTATGACAGATGTACATGCCATCTTCAGACAATGCAGTTTTTTCTTAAGATCAGTTGAGAGCAAATGTGCTGAGGTATTAAGGGTATTGGACTGGGGACCTGGGAGAGCTGGGTTTAAGTCCCATCTCAGCTTTGGGCCAGTCATAGACTCTCAGCCTAACATACCTCATGGGGTTGTTGTGAGAATAAAAATGGAGTGGAAAAGAACTATGTAAGTCCCCTTGATTTCCTCATAAGAGGGGGAAAAAGCAGGATAAAAATGCAGTGTAATAATAATGTTGTTGTATTCACATGGAAACACTGATGGATCAGTTAAAACTCTAGCATGCATCACCTTAATTTATTTGTTATAGCCTTAGAATAGATTCTACCAAATCACAACAATGTTAGCAATTTATTTATTTATTTAGCAGGCTTATATGCCGCCCCATTCGCCTACACCTCGCTCAATATGTGGAGTATTTCAGGTTATAATATTGCCTTTTCCTTGACACTTTGGAGGGACTGTAAAAAGCAATGTTGGACTAGGGACTAACCCTAGGAATGGTAGGGTTGATGCATGAGCACATGTTCCATCGAGTCTGGCTGTGCTGTAGTAGACATTCTAACAAAACTGCTATCATGCAATAGGCACTATTACATCTTACAGTTTCAGTGAAATAGATATTTAGCAGGTGTTTAACTCTGGTTGAAACTGACAGAGCTTGAAAGTGCTTTGCTGGATCATGCTTTATAAATAGAAATATTTATAGAAATCTTTTTGCACAGAAAGCTTTCATTACAAAAGAAGACTATGCACTAAAAGTAGCTTTCACTAATTAGACTGATGAATGAATAACTATTGCTAACCACTGAATGAGTATGTCATTTGCAGATAAAATCCAGGAGATCTATAAAGTTTTTATTCAGGAATCTGGTATCCAGTTCAGTGAACTGGAGGAAAAAGTCCTTCAGTTCCATGTCAGTAACCTTGAATATGCCTGTGGCAGCAACCTCCATGAGGTGAGTGTGGGATGCAGCTCGTAACAGCAGAGTATCTGTTCTAAATATAAAACACTCAGAGCATATATGAGTGTGGTGGTATATAACATATATTTAAAAATATGCATGTTGGACCAGATCAGCATGGAAATCTCTTTCCACCTGAGGACCAAACTGTGCGTAAGAGGGGCTCTCAGGCTACACTGCAGTGCAGATCAGACTAAGGACAACAACAAAAGTGCCAAAAATACAAAATGAAATGATTAATACCCACGTGTTTTAGTTTAAAGTGGTTACTGTCAGGAGCTTAAAGCTCATAAGATCCATTTCAGCCTTTTAGAATGGGGGAAAATGCACAAAAGCTAGGACATCACTCAATCACTGGTGACTGGGGAAAGGGGGGCAGAGAAAGAGGGCGTGGCCCAAGCGAGTTAGAGCTAGGCCCTGGGCCTGAGGCTCCTGACTGATGGCATAGCCTAGCTTCACACAGTCAATAGTGCAGCCCATCATGGCATTTTCATAGAGTGTTTTATTTGGGTATGTCATATGGATAGTCACTAGCAAATCCCTCCTTTGTTTCCCCACATGGGGAGTTTTTGCCCAAGCCATCCAGACCAAACTGAGTGGCTTGGAAGGCTTAGGGCTAGGCTACAAGCTAGAGAGCATCCCACAGCTGCAACTTGAGATAAGCAGAGTGTCTTTCACTTGGCAGTGAGAAGATACATGGAGATTGGCCTCTATAGATAAGAGCTGAGAACAAGCAGCAGGAGAGGAAAGGCAACTCCACTCTCCTAAATAGCCCACTTCTAGTATTTGTATGTTGAGGAACTAATTGACAAAGGGAATTGTGCTCTCTTGACAGGTTTCTGCCCGCTCTTGGGATCACAATGAATTTTTTGCTCAGTTTGCTGGTGATCACACACTGCTTAGCTCAGGGTACTCTGCCATACTTGAGAAAATAGCAGAAGGTCTAGATATTCGGTTAAAGGTTCCGGTAAGTATCAAAAAGTGAAAGAGGAGCCTGTTTGCTTTGCCTTGGAGCATTCCATCTTCCTAGTCTTTATTTTGGTTCTGCCTTGGAATGTACATTCAGATAAAACTTATTTACCTAAACTTTCCAGTATTTCCACCAGTGTCCAATTTAGCATTTGCTTTGGAACATCTAAATATTTCTTCCTATGATTTTTATAATGTATCCTATAACTTTCCTGTGTCCTATTTTACATTCTTGCTCTGTGCTACATGGCCTACTATGCATATAATGCTAAGCCAGGATTTAGCATTATCACATAAGCCTCTGTGAACGTCAGGCTTGTGCACTCCCCCAGTCCCTCCTGTGCAACTAGGAGGAAGAATAAACTCTGATTCAGTTGCATTTCCTGCAGTTCATCCTTATTTCATGCATTTCCCATCCTTTTCCCTCTTGCAAGGGACTCAAGGTGGTTCTGCTACACATTTCCTCTCTGTTTTCTCATCACAACAGCCCTATGAGGTAGGCTAGGCTGAGAGTCAGTGACTGGTCTGAAGTTACACAGTTAGCTTCATGGCTGAGTGGGAACCAGTACCCAAGTCTCCCACTATATCACATTGGCTCTCAGTATGCAATGTTATGTACAACTCAATAATTGTAGTATAATGCAAACTATTGTTTGTTAAATGAGCAACATAATCTAAAGTTTGTTGTTGACTAGACTTTGTGGTAAGCCACCGTTTTTGATTTGTACTTTACACCAAGCCAGGAACTGGAAAAAATGAAATGCAGTGATACTGTATTCCTTCTGGCTGTGCAGGAGGAAGAGAGATGAGTGTGTAAGCCTGAGATTTGCTCAGGTTTAGAGGCTTGTGCACATAACTGTTTTCCTGGTTTAGCATATGTGGGAACATGGCTAGTTTACAACTGGATTTCTTTAGCTATTTATTTTAAAATGATACACCCAAAGAATGGAGTCAGCTCATCCCCTCCAAAGGAAAAAATTATGGTGAAAAATTGTTTTCATCTTGAAAAAAATTCCTGATTGATCATTTACATAGAATGGGTTTGCATGAATTAGGAACTTAACATGGGTTGGTACCAATAATAGTTTTGTCATGTCATGTGAACTTGGACTGATTTCTCACTGTAGCTTGTATGTGGTCAGTAAGCTACCCCAACAACCCATAGTTTAGTCTTTGGGTTGTTCTACCTACAATGGCTTGCCATATTGGCCAAAATCAGAAGAGCAATCCTATCATGGATAAGAGTAGTCAGTCAAGAGATCGCCAGAGCCAGCTGCCTTCTTGCTGCTCTTGCCACAGAGTTCCTGGGTGAGTGCCAGTAATGGCTGCTCCCAAAGCACCCAGCCAACACTTGGTGGCAGCTGGCGCTGCGCTTGCAAGCTGTTTCAGGTTTGCTGTGACTTAATTACTTTTTCCTGTTTTTATGCAGGGATGATGAAAGCTGGCTGTTATGCTCAGCTTTCCTCATCCCTGTTTTACCACCGACGAACAGCTCCTTCAAAGTGACACAGTGGAACCTCAGAGGAATTGTCCATGGCTGTCTTGCGTGCATGGGTGCATGTATGCAAAACATTGTGTGCATTTTTTAGTTTTAATAAAATGTTCTAGATGCAGTTCCATGAATGTAGGGTTTGAAGCCTCAGCTGGGACAAAGTCCATGCAGGAGTCTATTGCCAAAGGGCAGCAGGTACCAACACTGGATTTTGCTCAGAAGAGGCTCCAAAAGTATCCCCCCCCCTTTTTTTTTTCTTTTTCACATCTGCCAGAAGGTGAACTGTGAAGAAAAACTAAAGAAAGATGAGATCGTTAACTGCAAAAAGGAGTTTTGGAGGGATTTTCCACTTTTACAACAAGATCTTCTAGTTTTTCCTCTCCTCCTTTTAGTTCCCATCAGGTCACATGCACTGTATAATGCTCCATGTTTTAGGTGCTTGGGAATGTCCAAAGGTACTTCAAGGGAGAAGAAATGTTGACAGCTAGGTAGGTCCCTTTCAAAATAGGGTTTTGAGGGGAACTGAGTGACATGTGTCTGTTTTTAAGGTTCATTTAACAATTTCCCTAAAAAGAACGCTGAAATGTCTTAGTCCTGTACAAATATGCGGTTCATAACTATGATTCCCACAATCCTTTTTCAACAGATTCGCAGTATTGATTATTCAGGGGAAGAAGTCCAATTGACTGCGACAGATGGAAGTCTGTGGACAGCACAAAAGGTGACAGGTCTCACCCTGCTCTGCCTCTGCTATATATTTTCAAGAGCCAATATAAAGGCTGTCTCAGAGTGCACAACTGTCTTGATAAGGCAATAAGCAGAAATAACTTCATTCTTTGGTGTCCTCAAATAGTTAAGCAGGGCAAAGCTATTTATTTAGTTTCCATTGCCATTTGACTAGCTGTTTGCTAGTGAACCAAAGGTCCTCACAGCCACTCTACTCTTTAGCAGTAATGAAATACTGATTTGAATCAGGAATGCTGCTGTGTGTGTGCATACATATAAAATGTATGTGCACATGTATGCATATGTGCACATACATTTTATATGGTGCCTTACAGCCCCCTTTTTGATTTTTCCACATTTTGTTGTATTACAGCTTGGAATTGAAATGTATTTAATCAGTACTATTACCACTTCATGTACACAAGATACTAACATGGTAAAGATGAAAAATATTTTTACTGTGGCACAACAGTAAACAAAAAGCAACACTTATTGCTTGCTACACAAGCAAATATTTACCCAAGTTGTGACAAGCTTTGCTGCACTCCGGTCTCTCCAGAAATCCCTACGTAGCTGAATGGAGGCCGTGTGAGTTCAATTCCAGTGCCACATGATCTCAGATAAAATACACCTATTTCTGGAAGGCTCCAGAGTTTGTTGGAAATCATATCTAAACAAACAGCATTATGAAGACCAAGAAGCTATCAAAACAACTCTGGAACACAGTTGTACAGGAAGTTATCAAAATTAAATAAACAAATGAATCCCAAATGACAGAATGAATATCTGCCAGATCACCATTAAATCCATCCTCACCATCACCACCACCACCACATTGCATTTATAGTCTGTCTTTTTTCCTCTTGTGAGAAATCCAAGGCAGCTTACATAGCTCCATTTTATTCTTACAACAACCCTGTGAGGTGGATAGACAGAGAGTGAATGACGGGCCCAAAGTTGGCCAGGGAGCTTCATGGCTGAGTGGGAGTCGACTCAAGATTAGGGCCTGAGTGATCCTGCAAGTGCTCTTTTGCAGGCACTTACAGGGAGCAGCTGAGATGCAATTAAGTAGTGCAGCTGGAGGCCTTGGAGACCAGCATCAAAGCCCTCTCTGCATGGCTGCGCTTTGACACAACAACACAAGCTATCTTTGTGATTCCCTTGTGCTCTGGGTCTCTGCCTTGTCTGAATTCAGGTTTCTGCCCACCCACCTCAGTCTGTTTCTGCTTCCATCCTTGTCTCTAGCCTGACCCTAATTGCCAGGTACCTTCACCCATCCTCCCTGACTTCATGTTGCTCTTGAATGTGACTGTCTTCTAGAAGTTGACCTTTGGACTGTGCCTTTGGATGTGTTTGCTTGGATCTGCCATCTCCCTGGGTTTGACCCTAGACAGTTAAATACATGTGCCTCCTCCTCCTGGCCCTCTGAACCTACTGCAGGACTCCACCTTGCACCTGCATCCTGGTCCCAGCATTCTACCCTTAGTTGCCTGCTACCCACCCCCCAGGCCTTACAACCAGAACCTGTATATACCAGGCCCTCAGTTCAGCACTCTAACCACCACACCACACTGTCTTTCATACGCAATGGAAATAATATGGTTCAGCCACAAGATTGTTCACTGAAACTCAGTGAATGGGTAAGGAGGGCATTGGTCAGAGAAGAAAGCAAGACACCAGTGGTAACAGGTAATTGGAAGGGTCTGTTGCTGAGATGGGCGACAACTATCTATGGGATAATTATTACCTGCACAAAGCTGTGCTTTATGGAACAGTAGTGAGAAGATAATCATTACTGAAACAAATCCATTTCAACATCTATTTGCGGTTTGGGGCTCATCATATTTATTGAAAAAAGGATTCTGATATGATGAGGCCAAAACTGAACTTTTTGGCCTTGCTGAAAAAATGTGATTTGCGGCACAAGAGCAGCAATGCTTATTGTCCTTTGTTTGCCATCCTGTTGGTGAAGCGTGGTGGTGGCAGGAGCATGTTGCAGGGATGCTTTTCCTTGGGAAGGATGGGAAAATTGGTCAGGCTTAAGGGCAAGATGAATTGAACTAAATACAGTGCCATTCTAGAGGAAAACCCATTTCATTCTGCAAGGGACTTAGAATTGAAGCAGTTCACCTTCTGCTTCTAGCAGGACAGTGACTCTAAACACAGCCAAAGTAATACTGGAGTGATTTTAAAAACAAGAATCAGCATGTCTTAGAATAAACCTACACTTTAATCCAATTGAGAATCTGTGGCAAGACGCTGTTCACCAACAGTCCCCATCCAAGGTGACAGCTGGAGCAGTTTTGCCAGGAAGAATAGGCTAACACTGCAGAATCTTAATGCAGAACGGTGATAAAGCTTACTCATGAAGATTTGCAATTGAAGTTGCTGCCAAAGGTGTGTCTTCCAAGTCACACAATGGGATGAATACTTGAGCAACCAACAAGTGCCAGCTTGTTCTTGTTTCTTACATTTTGTGCCACAATTAATGCTTGGCACCTTCACAATGTTGTGTATCTTGTACATGAAATGGTTACAGTGCAAATTAAATCTGTTTCTATTTCAAGCTTTAACTCACCAAGATGTGGAAAAGTGAGTAGGGAGCTGAATACTTCAGCAAGGCACATATGTGTATATATAACTCCTAAAGCCAGTATTACATTTGGCCTGTAATACTGGCAGAAAAGTTTGTACACATCTGTCCAAGGTTCTGACAAGTCTTCACAAGTTTTCCACTGTGGATTGTTCTATCTGCTGGAGTCAAAACTTTCCCACACAGTATGTGTTTTATGGTAGAATGTAAGGAAAAGCTCCTCCTCTTGGATGTACACCTTAACAAGGTGAGGTGATCTGAGTGTCCGAGAAGCCACGAGCAATGCAACCAGGAAGTCAGTCTGGTCTCCTAACAGAGTCAAGGCAGAATAGTCCAAGTTGAGGCACCAGACTAAGATGCATCCAACCTCTCAAGCAGTAACAGTCACATCAGCAGAAGAGAATGGATCTCATTAATGGTGATAGGGGCAGAGAAACTTTCAAGGCAGCTACTGGACAGCAGTGGTAGTTGAAGGTGACACTGGTGGAGGATCTTTCAAAGACAATGGCAGTGACACTTAAGGTAACTCCAGTTAGTACTGCACAGAAGAAGGTAACGGTGAACCACTTCTGAATATTTTCAACTTTAAAAATCCTATGATGAAAAAATCCAAAATTAAACAAAGGCTAGTGTCAGAAGATGAGAATCTCAGGTTGGAAGGCACTCAATGAGCTACTGGGGTAGAGCAAAAGACAAGTATAAGAAGCACTCTCACTCAGAGGAGGCTGGGAACTCCAAGGAAAGAGAGTGGTGGGAAGGAGTTGAGGTGCATCTACACTAATGCTAGGAGCATGGGTAATAAGCAGGAAGAGCTTGAAGCTCTCCTGGGAATAGGAGGGTATGACTTGGTTGGAATCACAGAAACTTGGTGAGATGAAAGGCAAGATTGGAATGTGAACATAGAGGGGTATCATCTTTTTAGAAAGGACAGGAAGGGAAAGAGGGGTGGGGGCGTGACTTTATACGTCAGGGAAGGGATAGGATTCAGTGAGATAGAATGCAGCACAGATGGGGATTTGGCAGAGGCAGTCTGGGTGAAACTTAGGAGTTTTGACAGGGAAAGGGACCTGACAGTGGGGGTATGTTATCGCCCTCCAGGTCAACTTGAGACCCTGGATGATGTCCTGACAGGCCAGATTCTAAGGATATCTCGGGGGAGACACATAGTAATTATGGGAGATTTCAGTCTCCCGGATATTAGTTGGGAGACCCACTCGGCAGTGACAGCCAGGTCAAGTCGCTTCCTAGAGGCTATAGAGGGAGGGTTTTTCACAAAGAGGGTCTGAGAGGTGACAAGAGGGGGAAAACATCCTTGACTTGGTCTTGACCAAGAGAGCAGCTGATAGATGAAGTACAGATAAGGGGAGCTCTGGATGTGAGTGATCACTCTATCCTTTGCTTTGAGATCAGGGGACTGGGGATGTGTTGCAGGTCAAGCACTACAAACTGGGACTTCAAGAGGGCTAACTTTGGCCAACTGAAGGCCAGACGGGAAAGTCTCCTGGATAGGTTACTGGAAGGTAAGCGAGTTGAGGAGGGGTGGATGGCACTCAAAAGGGAGGTTTTGGAGGCGCAAGCCTTGACAATACGTCTAGTTAGTAAAGTGGGGAGGCAGAGGAGAGCGCCGCCATGGATGCGAAAGGAGGTGGTTAGAGGGATTAGACAAAAGAGGAACTTCCATAGGAAATGGGCACTGGGGCAAATAGACAAAAGGGTATAACCGGGAGGAGGAGGCCCATTGCAGAAGGATTCTTCGCAAGGCTAAGGCTGATTACGAGCTGAGACTTGCCAAGAATATCAAGAGCAACAAAAAGGGCTTCTTTCAGCATGCAAATAGGAAGAGGAAGGGGAGACAAGTGGTGGGACCACTAAGTAAGGAGGAAGGAGATCCAGTGACTGATATGATGGAACAAGGACAGATGCTAATGACTATTTTGCCTCTGTGTTCTCCCCAAAGCAGGACAGGGGATATCTGCATAGGAGATGAGATGGGGCTGGGGACTTAGGGGCACAGATTAGAGTCACCCCCCTAGAAGTCGAGGGACTCCTCAGGGCATTGGACATTACAAAGGGGCCAGGCCCTGACAGGTTACACCTGAGAGTACTTAGAGAGTTGGCAGGGGTTCTCTCACGCCCGCTGGCCTCCATTTTTGAGGCCTCGTGGAGAACGGGTGAAGTTCCAGAGGACTGGAGGGTGGCATCAGTGGTCCCAGTTTTCAAAAAGGGTAGTTGAAGGGACGTGGGGAATTACAGACCTATTAGCCTTACGTCCATTGTAGGAAAAACAACGGAAAGGTTCATAATAGAGAGATCTAGCGATGCTAGATACGGAAGGGAGGCTGACAGCTACACAACACGGCTTCCGCAAAAACAGGTCCTGCCAGACAAACCTTGTGAAATTCTATGACAAGGTTTCGAGATGGCTAGATGGAGGGGATGCAGTGGATGTGGTTTACCTGGATTTCAGCAAGGCCTTTGACAAAGTGCCCCAGGATATCCTGGTGGAGAAACTGAGGAGTTTTGGGATACACCAAAGCACTGTCCGGTGGATTAGGGCATGGTTGACTGACCAAAAGCAGAGGGTAACCATTAGTGGGGAATTGTCGGGATGGTGGTCAGTGACAAGCGGGGTCCCCCAGGGCTCTGTCCTGGGGCTGATCCTGTTTAATCTTTTCATCAATGACATGGAAGAAGGGGTGAACAGTCTGCTGATCAAATTCGCAGACGACACTAAAACTGGAGCAGTGGCCACAACTGAGCAGCAGGTACTCCAGATCCAAAAGGATCTGGACAGACTATGGAAGTGGGCAGGAGACAACAGGATGGCGTTCAAAGTGGGTAAGTGCAAGGTCTTGCGCTTGGGGCATAGGAATAGGTGTCATAAGTACAGGTTAGGTGACAAGTGGCTGGAGAGCAGCACTTGTGAAAGGGACCTCGGGGTACTGGTTGACTGCAGGCTAAACATGAGTCAGCAGTGTGATGAGGTGGTCAAGAGGGCAAACACCACCCTTGGCTGCATAGCCAGACGTGTGGCTTCTAGATCGAGAGAGGTGTTGCTACCGCTCTGTGCGACTCTGGTGTGCCCGCAACGGGAGTATTGTGCTCAGTTCTGGGCCCCTCATTACAGGAAGGATATAGTCAGGTTACAGTTAGTGCAGCGTAGGGCCACAAGGTTAGTGGCCTGTTTGCAGGTGAGACTGGGGGAACTGGGTCTCTTCAGCCTGGAGGAGACTCAGAGGGGATATGTTGGCGACATACAGGTATGTGAGGGGATGTCACATGGACATGGGTAGAGACCTGTTCTCCCCTGCAGAGGAAGGCAGGATGCGCTCCAATGGAGCAAAGCTCAGGGAACCAAGGTTCCATTTAGATGCCAGGAAGCACTTCCTGACAGTTAGGACCCCGAGGGTGTGGAATGGGCTTCCATGAGAGGTCGTTGAGGCCCCATCGGTGAAGGTGTTCAAAGACAGGCTGGACATACACATGGTGGGCATGTCGTGAGCGGAGCTGGCTGGTGCTGGAGGTCAGACTAGATGGCCTGGGAGACCCCTTCTGACTTGCTCTGTTTCTATGTTTCTGTGTAATGATGCAGCTAGATCCAAGCCAAAGGGAAGTAGAGTGGAATTCCTCAAGTGGAATCATAGTATAATTAAAGCTCTTCTCTATTGCCTCTTAATTCCAGGTTTTAGTAACTGTACCTTTGGCTATACTACAAAAAGGTGCCATTCAGTTTACCCCAGCCTTGCCAGAGAGAAAAATGAAAGCTATTAATAGTTTAGGAGCCGGAATCATTGAAAAGGTAAGAAGACATCATTCATATGAGGATATGAAGTGGAAAATGAGCAGCAGTTCATTTGTACTCTATAGGATGCAAATACAAACTCAGACTAGACCATGGGTGCTCAAACTACAGCCCACGAGATGGATCCAGCCCACCATGCCCATTTATCTGGCCCACACCTTCTATGCAGGTGGGGAGGTGCTGGCTTGCTCACATGGAGATGGTTTTGGACTTGTTGGGAGATCTCCAAGCGAGCAAGCCGCCGCCGCCCGCCTCCCCCATGGGCGTGTGCCGCTGCCTTGCAGCGTGGGTGGGGAGGCAGTGGCTTGCTTACTCAGAGATGGTTTTGGACTTGCTGGGAGATCTCCCAAGTGGGTGAGCCACCGCCACGCACACCCGACACTGCCTGCCGGGCGCCCAGGCACCCCTGCCTCACCGGCCCACACCAGTTGCCTCCGCCTTTCAAATTGCCCTCTATTGAAAAAGTTTGAGGACCCCTGCAGTAGACTATCTAAAAGAGCACATTCTTCCCTATGAGCTCTGCCATGTTTAAGATTTTCTGGGGGCCCTTCTCTCAATTCTGTCACCAGTGGATTCACATTTGGTGGATCTGAGAGAGGACCTTCTGTTGAAAGAAGTATAGTTGGGTAGGGTGCTGTTTATTTACTTTATTGTTGTTTTTAATTATACTTTTAATTTATTTATTTATAAAAATTGTATGCTGTCCAATTACTAACATCTCTGAACGGCTACAGCATAAATAAATTGACGACCCACTCTGACTGCAGATTAATAAAATACAATAATAAAATTCAATATTTAAACATATTAAAATACTGATTAAATAAAAAGGTCTTAACTTGGCACCGAAAAACATATAATGACGGCACCAGGCGGACCTCTCTGGTGAGTACATTCCATAGTTGGGGCGCCACCACAGAGAAGGCCCTCTCCGGGTACTCTGTCTCCTAACATCTTTCACAGAGGGTTCCCAGAGGATGGTTTCTGTTGCCGATCTCAGGGGGCAGGAGGGCAAATAGGGAAGAAGGCGTTCCTTTAGGTATCCTGGTCCCAAGCCGTTTGGGGCTTTATAGGTAATAACCAGCACCTTGAACTGAGCCCAGACTTCAATGGGAAGCCAGTGAAGCTGATGGAGGACTGGGGTTATATGAGAGTAACGCCCAGTCCCCGACAGCATCCTGGCAGCTCTATTTTGAACTATATGAAGTATCCAGACTGTCTTCAAGGGCAGCCCCACGTAAAGTGTGTTACAGAAATCCAACCAGGAGGTAACCAGTGCGTGTGTTACTGTTGCTAGGCAATCATCCTTCAAGTAGGGACGCAGCTGATGGATTAGCCGAAGCTGAAGGAAAGTGCTCCTCACCACCACTGTCACTTGGGCTCCCAAGGACAGCTCCGGGTCAAGGAGCACTCCCAAGCTGCGGACCCTGTCCTTTAGAGGGAGTGCAACCCGGTCCAGGGCAAGACCCAAGTCACCTACCCAGGAGCTCGAATCACCCACCAACAGAACCTCCGTCTTACCTGGCTTGAGCTTCAGTTTATTGGCCCTCATCCAACCCATTACCTCGGCCAGGCACCAGTTCAGTACAGCCACTGCCTCACCTGAGTTAGTTGAAAAAGAGAGGTAGAGCTGGGTGTCATCATCATACTGATGACTCCGAAGCCCACAGCTCTTGATGACCTCTCCCAGTGGTTTCATGTAGATGTTAAATAGCAAGGGGGACAGAATGGAACCCTGTGGTACTCCATGGCAAATTTGCCATGACGCAGAGCCAAAGTCCCCCAGCACCACCTTCTGGAATCGGCTGTCAAGGTAGGAACGGAACCACTGCCAAGCAGTGCCTCCTATTCCCAATCCCACCAGCCTATCCAGGAGGATACCATGTTCGATGGTATCGAAAGCCGCTGAGAGGTCCAGGAGAACCAACAGGGACGCACTCCCCCTGTCTCTCTCCCTGCACAGGTCATTGTACAAGGCAACCAAGGCAGATTCAGTACCGTACCCGGGTCTGAAGCCAGACTGAAATGGGTCCAGATAACCAGTTTCATCCAAGAGTACCTGGAGTTGTCCCGCCACCACCCATTCCAACACCTTGTCCAAAAACGGGATGTTGGCCACCAGTCTATAATTGGCAGCCATCTCTGGATCCAGAGACACCTTCTTTAGGACAGGCCTGATTTCTGCCTCCTTTAAAGGAGCGGGCACTCGGCCATCCCTTAGTGAGGCGTTAATATCCTCCAGGATCCAGGAACCAATCCCGTGTTTGGCTTTGCTCAGTAGCCATGAAGGGCAGGGGTCGAGTAAGCAGGTGGTAGGACATACTTGTCCAAGCATGCTGTTTGATGCTGTTATCTTATAATCCAGTCTTGTTCTATGTTATGTTTTAAATAGGTCTTTAATTTTTATTCTATTGTTAGCTGCTTGGAATAGTATTTTTGTGGAAAGGTGAAATAAAACAATCAAATAATAATTTTCACATATCAGAGCCTAATTTATTCATAAAAGTAAATAGTCATGAAGCTTTAGGCAGGTAACAAAAGGCTGCCCACCCACCAACCCCAGCAAAACAGATTAAAATGGTGTAAAATTAAACCAATCCTGAAATTTCCTTACTTTTTGTCATTCTGAATATTGGTTTCTGATAACCCAACACACTACCCACACTCTGGTATCAAATAATATAATATATGTTATGACATGGCTGAAATTGGGTATGTTTATGTGTATTCTTATGTGAAAACACACCCACAATACAATGAAATGTGTTCCCTACTAATTCCCATTTCTTTGATTTTTCAAAAACAGTGCTGTCTTAGGACTTACTAAAGCTGAGAACTAAGCCAAACACAGTTACTCTTTTTGCAGCATTACATTGAAACCATTTAACAGGACAGATGCTTTTGAAGCAGGTGGTACTCAAATTGCATTAATTTCTTAGAATGAGTTGTAAAACTGCTCTTGAGACTAACAACCAATTCAATGCATGTATATGTAGAAATAAGGCCTAAGCTAGTCTCTGGTACATGTGCATAGAACTGTAGTAAAGAGGTAATTTCTTAACTTTTTTTTTCTCTAGATTGCTCTGCAGTTTCCTTACAGATTCTGGGATAGCAAGATTGAAGGTGCTGATTACTTTGGCCATGTTCCACCTAGTTCCAGCAAACGTGGTCTCTTCAGTGTGTTTTATGACATGGATCCACAGGTATATACTAGATGAAGACTGAATATTGACTTATGCTTCAAATTTGAAAGAAGTAGAAGCTTGAAAATCTCTCACCTTCCTCTTTTAATTTATATTGATACTTCCAATAATTTTATTTATGATTTTCTAATGTGGAAATGTGACTCTTTTTATTTAGATTTGTATTAGCAATATTTGATAATGCTGATGAATTTAATCAGTTGCCTTATTTTAAGCCAGTTTTTAAAGATAGAAAAATTATTCTACACACACATACTGTTTTTTTCAGTAAGGGCAATTTACAAAAGGGGCCAAAAACCTTTTCTGTTTTATGGATTGGTTTAGGAGAAATCTAATTGAATTAGAGGAGTTACACTATATAAAATGTCCTTGTTTCTCTCTTGCTTTCAGCGTAAATGCAGTGTTCTAATGTCTGTAGTAACTGGTGATGCTGTTGCAACTATTAAGAACTTAGATGACAAACAAGTGCTACAGCAGTGCATGACTGTACTCCGTGAGCTATTTAAGGAACAGGTAGGTCTGTTTTTTCAAATTACTAGCATAGATGCAACATCAATTTAAAGGAAGTCTTCTACCCTTGTCCTTTGTATTAGAGATGGATGAATTATCAATTTCAGTTCATGTCAATTTTGTATTTTTCCAATGTCAAGTTCATACCATTTCCACACCAGTTTGTGATTTTTTAAAAACCTAGACAGTCATTTATATTTTTGCTTAGTATACACATTTTTGCAAGGAATGCATTGTTAGCATTATTTTCATGAATATATGCATGCTTATGTGAATTATAATTCATAGATTGGTTCAGGAATTTTCATTCCTATTTTGTATCTTTTTAATTTTATTATTTCTGCGGAAGGTATTGAATCAAATCATTTAAAAATGTATGTGGTGTTAAGTTAAGTTTAGCATATATATTACTTCAGCATCAATTTGGTGTTGTTCAGGCGTTAGGGTTTCTACTAGGGCTATTGTAGGCCTAGGCTACTGTTATTTTAGTGTAGCTTTCATATTGTTGTACTATTCATTTTTTATTTTAGTGCATTGTTTTTATTGTATATTTTGTAATTGAATTTGTACACTGCCCAGAGGGCCCAATGGGCTATGGGGCGGTATAAAAATGTAGTAATAGTAGTTCTATACTAGTATAGCAGGTGAGTGTACATGTATGCATGAGGCATCATATGTTTTACAAAGAAAGCCTTTATGCTTTCCTTTGTATTGCAGGAAGTGCCAGACCCAGTCAAATACTTCGTTACACGATGGAACAAAGACCCTTGGATCCAAATGGCATATTCTTTTGTAAAGACAGGTGGCAGTGGCGAAGCCTATGACATCCTTGCTGAAGACATACAAGGAACAATCTTCTTTGCTGGAGAGGTGAAATATCGATTATGTATATATTTAAAATAATAATAATTCAACCCTCCTGAAATGTGGTACAGATCCTATATAAATTTAAGGATCTGTTAGACCAGTGGTCCATCACGTCTGAGTGGCAGGGGCTCTCCACTGTCTGTCAGAAAAGAACCTTCCTGCATTCCTAGCTGGAATCCTCTTAACTGGGAATATACCTGGGACCACATATATACAGATCACATAAGTAGCTTCAAGCTTGGTCTGGAGGATTGCTTTGCTTGAGCAGATTCATAGAATCATAGAAGAGTAGAGTTGGAAGGGGCCATGAAGGCTGTCAGGTCCAACCCCCTGCTGTTGCAGCACACCAAGTCACACCATCCCACTCAGATTGATGATGTTCATTAGGCAATAAAGTGAGAGGAATAATCTGATGCTATTGAACATGGTATCACCCTGGACTCTGAGAATTCAGAGGCACTATGTTGTAGTGGTTCTCTTGCTATTTGACTATTAGTTCCAGAGAACAGTGCTAGAGTAAAGGTACTCCACATTAGGAGAATTAAGCTATGAGGTAACAAAAAATTTCACCTTGTGCCCCCTCCCCATTCTTAATATGTACATAAGTTCCTGGGAAGTGCTGTGAAGAGCTGTTATCTGGTGCCAGTAATGCACCGATAACTGCCAATTAGCTTTCTTTCTTTTTCTAATCCCAGTGAGGCAATGAATTCCATGATCTGGTATCTGGAGTTAATAAATGATTTGGGTGGAAGTTAATACTCTGTATGAGACTGCGTTTTCAGTCTTGAAGTATGTAATAAGTCTGTTGTGGAAGGAATACATCCTCTAAAGGATACTTGGGGATACTCCTGGACCCAGCACTGTTACTGAATTTTGGTGTTACAGCTACACCATCTGCATCCTCTCTTGATACAAGGGGATGTCTCTTGAAGAGTAATAATATTGCATTATATTGCCAATAAACCGTTCTTAATTCAAGATGCATTAGTTCTTTGCAAGTGAAACTCCCTCATCAAAATGGCAATCCTGTTAAGAATTTCTGGCTATTCATTTTAAAAAATTGAAGAAAAATCCTCCATAACCAAGGCATCCCATCGTATTTATCAACTCAGTGGCTAAGCCTATCATCTTTCCATTGCGAAAATAGTCCTAATATTAAAAAAGCGGAATCATGCTTATTTTGTATGAGCTAGAGAAATGTAGGCTATTTCAAGTACATCCTTGATCTAATTGAAACTTGAAAGTTCCTATGTGCACATGCATGTATCATGCCTAATGCAGTTTATTTACATATAAGTCTCTCAAATTATCTTTCTGTTTTTAAATAGGCTACAAACAGACACTTCCCACAGACAGTTACAGGAGCATACTTGAGCGGTGTTCGAGAAGCAAGCAAAATAGCAGCGTTTTGAACATTAAACTACTGTTTACAGATTTTTTTACTTCTTCCAGTTCATACTCAACTTTCAGGGTTAGTATAATTGCTCCAGGTGGTACTTACATCCTTGGTACCTAAAGAGACAATCTTCATACTCTGTTTTTTAGTTCATTTTTTTTACCTGAGGACGCAATGATGCCCAGCATGCTAAGTTAGTAATTATTTATAAGCAATGCCAGCAGACAGATGGACACATTAAGCTTGCCTGTTGTGGATCATTTGATGCAGCTAATTCTGTATTATGTAAGGCTAGAATGTAAAGTACTTAAAAAGTGTGGTAGATGGACTGTTATAGCTTACATACAGTCAAATGGTGTGTCAACAAGGATGGCAGGTATCTCCATCAATGTTTTGAAAAAGGCATGTATTTTAAATTAAGCTGTTGAAGAGGCTCAGAAAAACAATCATAGAATTTGCTGCTGGTATCCTTTTTAATGAAAATAATATATATAAAAGAGCTGCTTGGACACCATTATCTATTCATAGGAAGTTTCATAAAATATTTTCTATGTATACTAGGTTGATGCTTAATATTTGATCATGTACATGGACCAGCAAAAATGTTTTGTATCCATTTCCTTTGTGTGCCATGAAATTTCTGAATCACAACAACTATGTAAATGGAGACACCTATACATATGTAACTGTAAAAGCATGGTAAAGGTATGGCAGTTGAATGAGCAGTTCACCTATTTTCATTTGCTTGTTTAAAATAAGGTTCAGTTGTTGGCTTTTTTGAAGGGTGAAAACAATGTGGCATCATCCAGACACAGTACTTATTTTAATGGGAGATTCTTAAGTAAATTCTTATGTTTCTTCCACTGAAATCATTGGAACTTGAAAATATGAAAGTATTTAAAAGAGGCTGGATAGTACCTACAGTTGTGAATTTTTTTCCTGTGGACAAAAACCTGCTGAAGAAATTTGTTTGTATTCTGGGTAAGCAGTATCTAAATAATTAAAAATGTATTGGTTGAAGAAATTCAGGTATGCACACAGATCTGTTATTAGTTATATTTTGCTTCCTGGTTTGAAAAACTAATGGAAAGTAATGATAATATGGCAGCATTGAAAGCCTTTGCTACTACTTTCCAAAGATTTAACACATTTGAAAAATCTTAAACTTTTACATATTGCTAGCAGAATGCCAGTATGTTTGTTTGTTCTTGAAATATAAGCAGCACTGGACAGTACGTTGGTTTACCCAATCACAGTAGACGATGGACTGAAAGGTGATCATCAGTTAAGAAATATCAGGTTCTTTCTTCATAGCTGAACTACTGTTATTTTACTAAATGGTATAATAGGTGAAATATACTTGTGAAAGCTTATAGTAAGAAACATAAAACAAGATGCTGATTTCCCTTTAAATGTTTAATTGGTCAAATGTTGAACAGTGTGAACACTTGGCTAAACAAACCCTTTGTCTAAAACTAATCCTGCTCTTGGCAGAAGTGCATATTAAAAAAAAACCTAATTAAAATGGGGACTTGCACTAGGGAAGGGAGGGGCACATTTGAGCCAAGTTTCAAAGCACTTAACACACCTGGAATTAGGCATGAGTGCAACCATTTCTAGTAATTATTAAGACAAAATAGTAAATGTGAAATATCTATAAATTGCATTGTAGAAGTGCTTAAACAGTTAGAAGCACCTGTTGTCCATGCAAAGGCAGGCTGCAGATATGGAAACTAATTTTTTTACATTTGTTTAAAATGTCTAAACTAGCATTCAGGAAGAGTCAGTGGGTTCAGTTTGAACAACTGATCTCAAAAAATTAAAATCTTGTGAAGCTCACTTTTTGAGTATGATCATTTTACTATTTTGTATATATGACTGTTGCCCTGTAAATCTAGGAAAACGTTTTAAAAGTATCTTTTCTGCTGTGGAGCCTGTGTAAAGTGAGTTAATAGTAATGTAATAAAAACTGGAAAGAATAATTGAGTTATTTAACAATCTTTACTGAAATAATAAAGAAAAACTCCACAGTTAGTTTGAGTTACAAAGTATTTTATATGGATTTATAACTTATCGTCTCCCGGAGAACTCAGGAGACAGCATGTTACATAGCCTCTAGAAAAATTAGGTATGGCTTTCCGTACTGCAAGACTTTGCATGTTGTAAGCACCTCCACTTGTATCTCGTTTCAGTAGAGAAAAACTGATTTGGTTGACATGATCTCCGGGTTGATAATGGTTTCTTAACCATCCTCTGTGTGCTGGGGCACTAGCATAACTAACTTCAGAAGAGTGATTTTCTTGTACAAACGCAGCCAGGGTGGCTTATTGCTATGGGTAACCTATCTAGAACCCTACAGCAGTGCATGAGTTCTGGGTGGTTTATTATGGCATGGACACCCTAATCCTCCATTTCATATTCATAAGAAAATATTGATCCAATGATACAGTGATATAGAGTATACCTACAGCCCACTATTCATTTCCAAATGATCCAAGAAAGACTGTTTTGGTCATTTCTCTCTTCTCCACAGTGTTGTATTTGCATATGTTTAACTTGCCTAAACTTTGATATGGAAGTTGTCTAATATGGATACCCCCCGCCACCACCAACTCATTCTGAAAGAGATAGTATGACACAGCAAAAGCTGTAGTTTGCTATCAGGGACTAGAGAGATAAAGTTATATTTCCAAGAGTGTGATGTGCAGTGATAGTGCAGTACCTTGCTCTCACAGACCCATAGTACCCTGTGTAGATGCTCCCCTTTCACATGGAGTGGGGGGAAGTGAGAATGTGCCCACTGGTTCTTACACGTTCAACCAAATGCATAGTTGGGAGCCCTACTCCTGTTCTCTTCTGCATGCCAATCAGCCAGTGTAGAAAGTATACCTAGGGGTCTCTATCATACTTCTCCATGTCTCCTTTAAATACACAACGGTGAATGTTTTAGCATTTAATGATTTTAACATGTTTGCATGTTTAAAGAAATGTTCTAAAAACATAAGGTATAGTTCCTAAACAATCTGTCACAAGTTTATCATGTTAAGGACACTAACAAGGCTATCCTACAACAATAATTATTGTCTTTTTAATTATGTCCAGAATCAAGAAAACATGTTGTGTAATTCAGCAGTTCTCACTGCACTGTTATTTTCTTTCTGATAAATGTATTTTACCACTATTGCTGAATCAACTGCAAACAGTGACCATGGCTTTGTGAAATACATTTACATGTAAGTAGGAGAGCAGAGTATACCTCCAATATCCTACTGCTTGCATTTGCTAGCAATTTGTATTTAATGTCTTGTTTGTGGCACTTCCCCTGGTATCTGGTTGACCACTTTTGAGCACAGAATGCTGGACTATATAGGCCTTTAGGCTGATGCAGTATGGCTCTTAGGTTATTAAGACTAAATTCTTTGTGCCTAAAATATATTTATTCCTGGTCAACACATCTCCTTAAGGTTAAGTGAAGACTAGATGTGCTTGTACCTCCTAACAGACAAAGCCCGATATAGAGATGCTGTCTTGTCATTTGGGTTTGGATTACTTTTGCATCTTATAAAGCAATAAAAGATTTGTCTAGATGACAAACAGCAAGCACATTTGATTCTGTATCAAGTTTTACTGTACATGTATTAAAATATCAAATATACATTCTCCTTAAAGACATTTATTGAATATAAAGCTTGTTACACTCAGCCTTAATATAAAGGATCACATGCAAAAAAGTTGTAAAAATGGTAGAGACTGATCAGCTTACTGACTGAATATTTTCATAATATAGTTCTATGATTCTTAACTACATATTACTATTGTATTTAAAACCTGCAGTACTTGCAATCAATACAATCATTTATGTATTATGACACATATTTGGCATTTGTTGGGAGCTCTGATTCATGATCAATGGGCATAGCTTTACTGACAATGACATTTTTTGAGCAGGTACTTAATTCGTGAACTGCCTGCAGAACAGGTTTTAATTTATATTATTACTCTTAAAGCAGCTGGGGTCTAAAGTTGATACATGTAGGGCAATCCCATGTCTGATAAATGCTGTCTGGCTAGCTACAGGAAAAGTCACACTCCAATTTTTGTTAAAACTCCCTCTGAAGTTGCAGCGGTGTTCAGAAAGACCACCTGCTGCTCTTGCAGAGGTTCTCTATACACTGACTGCTGCTCCTAAGACAGAAGACCATTTTCAGAGCAGCTGCTCTCTTGGCCAAATTCAGCTAAGCCTTTTGCCCATGCATGCAAGGAGGGGCTGAAGTCCTGCCTGGCTTGTTCATTAGACAGTAATGCCTAGCTCCTCCCCACCACCTACTCAGAAGGGTACAGGCAGTCAATAGAGCATGGAGGCAGAGTGCCACTGTGTTTCCTCTGTCCCACATTGGATGGTGCCCTTAGGATACAATCCTATTACAATGACTATAAACACCCAAACTGACATATATGCTCATTCTATGCAAGGGAGTAGGAACAGCTGGGATAATATTTTCCTCCCTGTGTTATTGCTAGACAGGGTTATTGTTTGCCAATTTAGAAAAATGTTTCAGAGTGGGAGGGAAGGAGTTCAGGAAGCCCCAGGGTAGCTCATATTTTGGCCTCTCCCTTGGCCCACTCACTGAAATACTCTCTTTTCACCATCTCCAAGGTCATACTCCCAACACTGAGGAGGCAGCTGGAGCAAGTTTTTCAAGGCTGGCTGCAAGGGGGCAGAGGGCAGTTTGCAGATACACCCCTCTAAAGTCAGAGTGCTATCTGTAACTTTGGACCATAGAATCTGAAGCACCCTATAGTTCTTCAGACAGTTTGGGAGCCATATAGTTGCTCCCCCCTCCCCAGGCTGCAATCCTGTAACAATTTTACATGACAAGAAGCCCCATTAAACTCAAAAACTCACTTCTGAATGGATAGATAGAGGACTGTGGTATTAAGGTTTTTTGCCCCCACTTACAAATACACCTTAACTTTAAATACAGAAATACAAAAATGCCCAGCTGATACCATGAAGGTATTAAAGTTCTATTCTGAAATCACTCATAGATAAGGAAGATTGATTTTCCAGGAACTTTAAAACAGAAAGTTATACACACTGAACATGACTTTCTCAAAGACTTGTCTGCCTCAGGAAAGACTTATTTCAAAGTCATAGTTGCTTTTCCTATATATTGGATTCAATATGCAGGCATCATATGAAGCAGGAGTGCAATATGTATCTCTCCAGATGTTTGGCCTTCAGTTCACACCATCCCTCACCACTGGCTATGTCTCACATAAGTTGAGATCAAACATCTGAAAGGTCACAAATTGCCTACTGCTAATGTAAAGCCTTTAGAACAAGGTAATTTGTAGTTGCCTCTACCCAGTTAAACACTGAAAAATATGAGTGCAAAGAAGAATTTCTTTAGAAGGCAAACATTTCTTTTGTACGGTAGTTATACCTCCTTCCTTCCTAATTAATCATAACCCCACTCCTGAACACTGACACTGGTCCAGTCCTCTAAAACGCACTGATTATTCTTCTAAACCACCTGATTTTAAGCAAAGGAGATTGAATTAAGCTTATATACAAACTCTTAAAAGTACAAAAATAACATCTGCAAGTTACCATGCTTTGCCAGTTCTCAAGATGTGTACACATGCAAGATAATCATAATTTAGAATAATCATTGTCAGGGCTCATGACTTACTCCTGATTAAGAGAATGGGTAGATATTCAAAATCAATGTAATGCCTAATACTGTAGTATTTGACAGTCTCAGCATGTGTATGTACAGACAACAGCTTTCATAATGATTTTTTTAAAAAAAAACCTCTACATTACAATGCACTAAAACCTACAACAGCTATAGTAGATCTGCTTGTTCAAAGAAACCTCATGATGTACAAAAAGCAGGGAACATTTTTTGCCATGCAAAAATCTAAGAACTGCATTAAACGCAATTTTAAAAAGTTGAAGTAATTTCCATTAACACTCAGGACATTAAGTCAGTAGAATCATCCCTGACTAAATACTATGTTATACCAAAAGGGCAAAAGAACAAATTGACATTTTTGCTGGTGTTCTGTAAAATATTTAAATCCACGGGAACAAGTCTGAAGCTTTCATGTCTTCCCATTAGATCATGAAATGAGCTAAAAAGAAAAGAGTTTGTGTAGTTTTAAATCTTGAGCCTACAGTATAAATCCCCATCCCACAAACACAATACTATGGTTGCAATTTAAACCGTTTGCTTGAAAGAAATTTTAAAGGAAATCAATAGGACTTATTAAGTAAATATTTTAAGTCTCATGCTATGACTTTCAAGGTCTATAGCTCAAACTTTAAATTTAAAGTTACCAAGTTACAAGCTGCAATTTCAGGAACTGTGTTTAGAACTTGATCTTCTTAACCAACCAAGATGTCCAATTTTAAACAGCAGCTTATTTTAGTCTTTGGAACCATCCTATGATATTTCATTGGTCAAATATTTACCTCTTCCACTGTTTTTTTGATGAAGCCTTTTCGGTCAGACAAGTCATAACTGGGATAGCTTTCATATACCTGTAATGACCAGTGTAATGCAAAAGTTAAAGTATTTGAATCAGAAGATGATTTTGATGACTTAACAGACAAATTAGATGCACGACAAACAGGATCTCCTGGGTTTTTTAAAATATGCAGATAGAAAGTATGAAAGGTAGGGATTTAAGTTGAAACAAGAAAGAAGTAAACATAAAGTTTCAATGATTTAAATCGTATCTTCTCCCTCAGATATAATTTGCAGCACAGAGATTATGTAATTAGAGCAAAGCTAGTTATGCTGCTTACATATTTGACCCCACTCAATATTCCCAACAGGAAGAATGATCAGGAGCAGGTCTCACATTTGCATTCTCTCAAATTTCCGTTTTGGTTCCCCTGATCACGCATGCAATACAGAATGACTCAATGGAGAAGTCCCGTGTTTAATGGAATGGGGTATCTTCCATTACATTGGATAAAAACTTCTAACTTTATTCTGCATTGGAGGGGAAGTAAGAAAGCTTGGGAGTAAATTATGCAAACAGATGTTCGTGTCAGATTAGGACTGGGAAGACCCTGGTTCAAATCTCTGCCCACTTTGATGCCTACTGTATGCCTGTGGCCTAGTCACTCTAAATGTAACTTTCTTCAAAGGTTGTTGTGACGATAAAGAGTGTGTGTGAGTGCGTGCATGCACACACGCACGCAAGAGCAAATGTTTATGTACCTGCTCTGAGCAGCTTACAGAAACAGTAGGATCTGAGGTAAGTAAATGATGGACCTGGGACCCGACAGATACAAAATATGTAATCCGTCAGTTTTCTTTCAGGCAGCAACTTAAAAATATACTGCTACTTTAGGTACAGAAATATCATGCTGTTATAGTGGATTTAAAAGGCATGAATTGAAGTAACTTCAGTTTTCCAGCACCAGCAAGAAACGTAAGAACTTATGAAATCCGTTATAGAAAATAAGTCAGACACAAACCTCTTTACAAATCTGTTTCATGGTAACTTCCTCTAAGTTTGCATTAGCTAATAGCTTCTTCACTGTTTCTTTCAGCTCTTCATCCGTAGGTGGCTTTTTCAACTTTTTAATTAAAGGCTCATCATCTGAACTATCCTCAGATTCACTTTCTAAACATAAACATATTTTGTCATTAAAATGTAGACAGTGATAAATTTGTTGCTTTTCTTCCCCACAAGTCAACACTTTGGCCCGGATCCAAAGAACAGCAATAGAAGTTGCTCGTATTCAAGAGTGCTTCTGAACTGGCACTTTTCAAACAGACACTTGCAGACTCAGATGGCAATTGTAAATGGAGGGATATTTCTACCACAGTGTTTTACCTTCCAATGTTTTACCTTCTCTATTTTTATATCCCTACCAATGACCTTCAATCCCTTCCAGCTTCAGCCACCCAAGGGTCACCTGCTCCCTTAAAACATCCATCTGTTTCCCCCGCTGTCTCACATATAGTGTGAGAGAGCCAGTGTGGTGTAGTGGTTAAGAGCATGGGACTGGGACTCAGACGATCTGGGTTCTAATCCCCACTCAGCCATGGAGCCAACTGAGTGACTTTGTGCCAGTTACAGACACTCAGCCCAACCTCACAGGGTTGTTGTTTTGGGGATAAGATGAAGGAGGAGATGTAAGCTGCTTGAGCCCTTTGTAGGAAAAAGGCAGGATATAAATCAAAAAATAAATAAAATATATTTGAAGTTCCCTCCATTAACACAGTCGTGGGGCCACCTCTGTCCTACCCTCAACCTCCATCTGTTACCAAGACTTATCTTTAGTCACTCCTGAAAACTTCAACTAAGCATACGTATATAACTGTATTCAAATCCCATTGTCTGTTTCTACCAACACATAAAAAAGATTCCTTAGGTTATGCGCCTGTTTTGTATATATTACTTTGGAAAGAGTGATGGCATTATAAGAGTAATACTAATGAAATAATCTAAGTCCATTTACCACATATTGTCTCTCTGGCAACTTTATACAGATGCCCTGGCAAGCATCTGTGTTAAGCTGGCTGAGGACAGGCTTTTTTGAAGCTCCAGTGGACTCTGGGCCATTGATCAGCTACATAGCTATTGTAGACAAAACTAAAGACTGTATGTCTAGAAATAATTTGAAAGTATCACTGAAACATCTGATCCGCTGGGGTATTACCTGAACTCCATTGTTGTCCCCACTTTAATCTCTTAACATCACAATATAATACCAAGTTTTCTTAAGTATAAGGCAAAAATCTGGAAGAACTGTAGCAACTTGTAAAACCTAATACTTTTAACAGTGGTGTTATGGATGTTTAATAAAAGTTGAGCCTAAGAGATATCCATTCAGGGATGTAATGGTGGCATTTTCACGTGGGCTGAATTTAAGGGTTTCTGTCATTGATTCCACTAGTCAGTGCTGAACACAAGTAAGTAAAATGGGTATGAAACAGTGCTGAAAAAGTTGCATCTTCTGAAGATAAACTCAAGTCCACTTGCAAAACTCTAGAATTTTTTTAGGAGGCAAATTTACCTTTTTTGGAGCTGTTTTGACTCTTCTTGGTTGTGCTACTATCTGCTTTCTTAACATTAGCATTCTTTGTGCCCTTTTTGCTTTTTGAAGCAGTTTTTTGCTTGGGCTTTTCTTTTTTTGATGTCTTTTTAGGTCGCTGTAGGAGAAATTAAAATAATATTCAAGTCTACTATAGTATTTACTGCTTTTTATTCTACAAAGCTACTAGCTAATATATATTATATAGTTACAAAGAAAAACCGAGGAACTCCACTCAAACAAGGTATAATTGCATTACCTGTCTCCAGTTCTGGCAAGTTTTCTAAATTGTTAAAGAACAGTCCTTTCTGATTTTTTCAGGCAAATGAAGAAGGTTGTGCCTATAAATCAGAGGTTAGTATCAAGTAGTTTGTCCCTAAAATTAGAGGCTAAAATGATTGGAGAAATATGAAAGCATACCACAATTCTTATCGGCACTTCCTTACACACAGAGATTTATGAATTTCATCACAATCTAGCCCTACTATCTGGTTTGTACAATGTAACAAACCCCCAAGGGTGATTACAGGCTCATTTACTTTTCTTTAAACCAACCAGCCTGAGAATCCCTGGCTTACTGTTGAATTCTTCAGACTGCCTTGTTGTGCACAAACCTGGCACAGAAACCCCCATGTGTTGTTGGAAACTACTAGGAAGCTGCTCAGCAAGAGCAACAAGAAGCCTTACTGCTTCTTGCCATCCCACTAGCAGGCTGGACTTGATTTAAATCAAATCGATTTAAATCACTCATCAGATTAGATTTAAATCATGGTTTTCTACATAATTTGCGTGCCTGCCTGCTTTACCTGTGGGTAGAGGAACTTCATTAAAATATCCCCAAACTGATTCTCTCTGACAGCCTGCTGTCATTATAGGTTTTCTCCTCCAGGAAAAGAATAATATGATAAACCTCAGGCTATACACAAAAAGATCCAAAGTGATTTAAAGTATCTTTTCTTCTGGAGTATTCTGCTCAAAAGCCTTCACTTTCATTTTTACTGCTTGCCTTCCCTCCTCACACTTAGCTTCTTGTGCAGCTCTCTTCCACTCTACAATCTTCTATTCATTGAATTTTTGAAACCTAGCACTTAAAGGTAAGGAGCTGGTTCTGTGTACATAGATCTGCAAAGGAACAATGGGATTAATTCCTTTTCCTCAACTCTATTTTATAACATTTTTACTGTGAAGAAATGGCATGTGATCTCTGCAGACACACATTCACAGATTTGAGAACTGTAAAACCAAGCATCTGCAATAGAGTATCTAGATGTTTTCTAGACAGAAAAACTGCTCAATAATCTTACAAAAAGCTCTGAAAGAGCATGGCATTGTGAATGCATTAATGTAATTCATTTACCCAAAAAATATTTAAATTGTACATGAATATACAGCCTCATGCTACATAATTAAAAACAAATCCTTATTTCATGATGAATAACCTTTGGATTATAATGGATATTAAATAAAAAAATTATAAACTTTTCCTCAAAAAGCATTTTATTTTTTAAAAAATCCAATTTAATTTTTTTAACAACTGATTTTTAATGTTTTGAAATCATTGATTTTTATTCACCCTACCCACTAGTGCACCTGCTATCCTTATCCCTTCTCAGTGCCCTCTGTTTCATGATCCTGAAAACAAAGGAGAAAGGACACTGCAGATCATCCTATATGATCCTATATATTTGCAACCTTACAAATGCTCCTGATATCTGTAATTGAAACTCTGCAGCTATACAATTAATGTGGTTTTCCCCCTGCTTTGAAAACTGTGTGTACTCACCAACCCCCTGCCTGGAATCCCCTTCATTCCCTGCTGTACCTTGAAATGTGTTTATCTCAGCTTTCCCTCCTCAATTTACTACTCTGCCATAATGTTTGCGTAATTTTAGCAATTTTCCTCAATGCTCTGGCATGAAATTTGCTTAATTTTCCTCTTGGCATTACCCTTCTTCCCATGAAATTGTGTATTTTTAGCAATCTACATTATTACTCTGTAACCCAAATTTATATCTGATGGCTCACAAAAGAGACTAGTGGAGGGAAACAACAAGCAGGAGGAGGGTGTGGGGAAAGAACTGCTGGACATTTTCAAATACCCTCCACCTGCCTTAAAGGTGTTCACTGGCAAGACAAGAACAGAAGTGGTGGATGAAATTAACAAGGACATTGACAAGAGGGGGGTACTGTTCAAACCTCTAACTACCTGAAACGATAAACTGCTTTAGAGTTTCATAGTGGCTTGTCAAACTGCCCAGCAATATAAAAGGTAAAGGTTTCCCCTTGATGTTAAGTCCAGTCATGTCTGACTCTAGGGGTCGATGCTCATCTCCGTTCCTAGCTGAGGGAGCCAGCGTTTGTTTGCAGACAGTCTCCGTGGTCATGTGGCCGGCATGACTAAACACCAAAGTGCACAGAATGCTGTTACCTTCCCACCGAAGCGGTACCTTTTCATCTACTTGTATTTGCATGCTTTCAAACTGCAAGGATGGCAGGAGCTGGGACAGAGCAATGGGAACTCACCCCGTTGTGCAGATTCGAACCGGCGACCTTTTGATCACCCAGCCCAGCAGCACAGCAGTTTAAACCACTGCGCCACCTGCATCCCTTGCCCAGCAATATACTCACAACTAATTAAAAGCCCAACTGGGCACAAATATTCAAAATGGCAGCTGCCTTGCTGTAACAAAAACCGTCATGGGAAAATTCACCCGTGGTGACTTCTCTTTATAGAAGACATGAATCAATGGCTTCAATTTGGTCTGTTTAAAAGGGCTTCCAAGGTACTCAACAAGAGCAGCATAAAACTCTGCCATTCCACATGATCTCACTAGTGCCATGCCATCCTCCTTCACCCCATGTCAGTGTTACCCATGCCAGAAATGAAACTAAAGCATCCCGAATGCACTTGCAACCTTTAAAATTTGGTCTTGTGCAAGTGCATAGATGTAATAGTAAGCTATGAGATTTGCAGAACTGCCCCTCACCTTTACTGATCTGCCATGAAATGTTTATTTATATCTAAGAATCAACAATGGAAACTGGTGGAGGGAAATAACAAGAAGAAAGGAGGAGAACAGTATGTGATACCTGCACTAGGAGCTTTTGGGGTAGGTGTTTTTACAATGGGAAGATGTGAAGCAGCCCCTTTTTTAAGTTGTTTACTAGCAAAAGAAGCCCAGAAGAGGAGGATCAAAGTGACAAAAAGGGTATGTGGGACTAAAGAGCAACCAGGAGGGTTTGCCCAAGACTTCCCCCCTGCTCTGCCCCACCCCGCCCCGGCAAGTGTTATCATATTCACAGAAGACACAAAAAACTTAATTCTATTTGGCAAACTGATGTAAGAGCTCCCCCATAGCTGCCAATCAAGCAGATCAATTGCAGAAAGGGTGCTCATGTAGAGACCAAAGAAAGAATGATTCTGCTGCAAAGGCACATGGAAAACATGGAAGAGTGGGTGGGCAGGAAGCCATGACAAGTAGCAGATTATCTTCTGGGTTATCAAGCAATCAACCTATGCTGGTTTAGCACAACATGCACATTTCCACAGTATTTGTAGCACAAAGGAGATATTTTCAAGAAAATACATTATTTATTACATTTTGGTACCTTTTAGTAGTTTATCCATTTACAGGATTTTTCTCTGTAACCCTACTGTTCCTACCTCATTACTCTATAACTGAATTAGAAACCTTTAATATACATTGTATAGTTTTACCTCCTCTTCACTTTCTTTATCTTCTTCAGATGATTCATCTTTTTCTTTCTTTTCATCTTCCTCACTACTGGATTCATCAGTCAGGATCTCAGGACATTTGGTGCGTTTGGCTTTCCGTGCTGTTCCAGAGCTACTTCGTTCTTTTTTACCACCTTTGTTGGTTGCTTTCTTGGATTTTGGCAATGGCTATTAGAAAGAAAAAGTTATTATACATTGCATTTATTATGCATATTATGTATTATTTACCATTTTAATTGTTGCTGAAATATGTTTGAGCCACCCAGAGAGACTTATGGCTAACAGGGAAGCATACAATTCTAATAAAATCAAACCAACCAACCTGTTGTGCGTGCTGACTCAGAGGAGTCTTTGGCATGCGCATGAGGGAGAGGCTTCCCGTGAGAACCAGGGTTCATTACAGGAAGATGTGTATTCGGTGCCAATAGTTCAAACACCCCCTCCATGCCCAGATGGTGCACTCCTAGGGGCTGAGAGCACAGAGGGAGGAGGGATTCAGGAGGAAATCAAAAGCTTATGGCAATCAGAGGCCGACCTAGCAGTTGCCGAGGGAACAGTTGCAGCACCTGCAGATAAGGACGGTGTGAACACAGGAGTTACGTGCTCCCACAGACGCACATGCAGATTGGGGCAGTTAGAAGCGAGACTGTTGGAATGACTAAGAGAGAGGAGCCTTTCTGACCTGCCCATCAAGGGACAGCCCAGGAGGGTTAAAAGTATTCCATGAACTGATACCATTCAGAAAGAGAGGACAACATCATCTCATCACATGTGTTTGTAATAGTAAGCTCTGTACAAAATAAAGACTTTAGTAGCAGGAACCAGATTCGTTGTTTTCATGGGAAAGAAGTGCTAGCCACACGACACACCCAACCAACCAAAGAACACAATGTTGTAAGGAATTAACTACTATCAAAGTGTGATTCTACACTATGAAATCATTTTGAAAATATCATGGAATTATTTGTTCCTGGGATTCAGAAGATCTGGGTTCTAATCTCCTTTCAACAATAGAGCTCATTGGGTGACTTTGGGCCTGCCACAGATTTTCTACCCAGCCTACTTCACAGAGTTGTTATTGTGAGGATAAGATTGAGGAGGAGGAGAATTCTGTAAGCAACTTTGAGCTCCTTGAAAGGAAAAAGGCAGGATAGTATAATAAATACTCATATATTTAGATTTTCTAAATATATTAGAACAAATCTGCAGACATAATGTACATGCATTGTTTGAGAGGAATGACACATCAGAACTGAAGAACAATTTCAGTATTAGACAGCTAAATATAAAAGGTTGGCCAGCACAGCCACACTTTGTGAAACAGTTTTATTTCATTAGAAATTAGAATTTCTTTGTGTATTAGAACTTACATGGGTGGTAACTTATAGCTTTTCAATGGAAAATTGTGGAAAGCAATGGCAAGCTCAAGGAGGACTACCATTTCCTATTTGAAGAGTTTGTGGAAATATCCAAGTAAATGATATAAATACAGACCTTTTTCATCTCTGGTTGCCTTCATCTGTCAGTCTTCCTGACCATGGTGGACTGTTTTCTCCCAAACAGGAGACTTCAGTTACTCTTTTTTATTATTATTGTTTGTAGTACACCAAGCAATAGTGATTTAATACTCTAAGGCAAGGAGAACATGATTTGATTTTTATCTCAGGTTAAATATTCTGCTTGCCTCAAAACTCTTGGAAGAATTTTTGCTTTCATATGAACAATCATGATGCAGTGGAAATACCAAGATTTTTGTGGAAATACCAAGATTTTTTTTAAAAAAATTATTTACTATAACAAATGTTTGGTACTTCTTAGGCATGACCTGAAAAGAACCTTATGAGAAATGCTCATGTCAGTCTAATTGTAATGCTGTTTTAGTAATTGTTGCAAAAGTGAATTAAACCATTTTCAGATTAAAGGCCAAATTCAATTTCAGCGAAGTTCTCAGATGTGGAAAAGGGTAGGGCCAAAATACACCAGCATATTTTAGTTTAAAGTTAATACTGCCAGTATTTAAGTCTTTGGAGAAGCACCCTATCCCCTCTTCTTTTTGACTAACACCAGTTAAGTCCAAATTATAGGCATGAACACCATTACTGTTCTTTGCTCCTTCTGCTACAATTCAGAATACAAGAACAGTCTAAATATAGCTTTTTATTATCTCACCTTGCCTGAAGGTTTTGGATCCATTAAGAAGTTTAAGATTCTGGCTACCAGTTCACTATTAACTCCTGATCTTTCCAAATCAAGAACCTCGCATATACTTTTCAGCATTGCATTTCTGTATCTGTAGAGAAATACATTTTATTAAACTTGATTTATAATTTTTCAAGTAATATGGAGGGGGAAAATGTTTCATACAACTATAACCCATATGATTATCAATGTCCAAAAGTACTTGGAATTCAAATGTTAACCATCTACATCCATTACACGAAACAAAGGTCTCAAATAAGACTACACTCTTATTAAATAAGATGATTTGCACACTCTTACAAGCAAACAACTGAAAAATATTTTACTTATTCTCTACAATGAACTTCTTTCTCTCTGTTCCCTTCAAACACTTATGGGGGGTGGGGTCACAAATACTAAACAAAACAACATAAAAGATAACTTTGAATTCAACAATTTTTCTCCAATGGTTACAAGCCCCAACCTCTAAAATAAAATCATACAGTATCTTTTATAAAACTAAGAACAGCAGTTTGAAGGACAGAAAATCTTGTTTTTCACTGAAGGACTACATTCTACAAATACAATTTCAAAGGTTTAAATATTTTGATTGCTTTTAAAGAGCACCTTCTTCAGTAACAGTCATTTAGCAGTTTAACAAAAAGACTGCTAAATGACCAAAATATGGGTAGCTCATTTTTAAAACACTTAACTGTGGAACTGTAATAAGGTTAGGATCAAATGTAGGAGCAGTGAAATCTAACAACTCACTATATGCCAACACAATTATACTGCCCAGCTCAGAAAATTCTGCAAGACAATGTAAAGGTTACTTATATGCATTAGTAAATTTACCACTACCATAGCCAATTAAAATATATTTTGAAAACAATCTAAGTTCTACAAAATTCTGCAAAAATATTAAGGCAGCAGAGAAGTTAAGCTTCAGCTAAACATCAAGGGTACAATTTGGACAAGGTTAAGCCTATTTAGGTTCCCATTATTTCAGCTTAACTTTCCCATGGGAAAAAATCAATGGGATATTAGCATGCTTAATTTGGCTGAACAGCATTCCATGTTTGTGTGTATGAAAATCTACAATAATGTTTTAAATAAAATTTTCTGCTGGGTTTTCAAACAGTTTAAACAACAGTAGAAATAATGTGGTGCTTTTAAATTTATTCATCCTGACTTTAAGTAATATTCATGGAAATGATTTGGAATGAAATATGCTGAAGTTATAAATTTAATTATGTCCTGAGAGAACAAGACTTAGCTCAAGCAGTTGTTGTGCACAATACTTAGAATGCATGTATTAACATAAATTAAGCCATCTGACCATGAGAAAGGGTTTTAAAAGCTTACTTTTTCAACATTTCTTCCTTTTTTTTATATTGGTCACTTCCTTTCTCAAATGGAAAACCACTGAATTGGCCCACATTCTTCTTTAATGAAGCAACCTTAAACATTAAACATGTGGATTTTTAGATGCAGCATATACAGAATCTCAATTTATTTCAGATTTATGAGCTTCCTTTAAAAGATAAATTACAATATTACTAGGACTGAGCCAAATATCACTCTGCGTAACATTTTGGAGGAAAATTGGGAAGGCTGTGGGGTGCAACCTTTGTACAAGGAAACTAAATTCAGCTTCAACTTTGTTTTGTGGTTGTTTGTAGTCACAATGATTAGCATCATTACCAAGACAATACTTCCTTTCTTTTTGGTACCATGTTCAGTAGCACAGTGCGGCAAGAAAGAGAAGTATCCCTGCATTGTCTATGGAACTCTCTCAATTTTTTTTGGCATAAAATCATTTTGAAATGAATTTAAGGGAAAGTGTGGAGTTCAGATACCTCAACAAATTAATCTCATGCTATCCACAGAAGCACTGATTGAGTCAATGTTTGCAAACTGTAAATAGCACTGTGGAATTAGTTTGCTAGTTTCTGTTTCAGCTCAGTTCTAAATATAATTTTTAAGCATGCAAGGCTATAGGTCTTGCACGCTCTGGGAAAGTCAGAGTCCCAACTCCAACCTTGGAAAAGTACTGTGAAGTTAGTCCTGAGACTTCAAGCTTACAGCATGCTCTTTTTGCAGCTGATAGGAAAATAATTACATTAGCTGCAGCTTTAAGGTCAGAAGACCAACCTACAGGTTAGTGTTTGGTGGACATTCTGGAGGACAGGGAGGGAAAAACATCTAAAACTGCCTGTCAACATTTTTTGCAGGTAGAGAAAGTGAAGAGTCAGCCTTCACTTCCACATGTCTTTACCCTTTGATAGGTTGCCCACAATCCTCCAAGTTCTGAGGGTTAAAGACAGCCACATTAGATAGCACTACAAATGATTTATAATAGATAAGAACAAATGTTTTTAAAATGTTAAGGTACAATTTCCTGTTAACAATTTTTTAAAAAAAGAATCCACTCCAGTTCTGATGAATTTCTCAGTAACAAAAGGTATATCCTAAAAGTGAAATAAACATCAAGGCATGTGCTGAAGTACTGTATGGTTGGGTGTGGAAATTTGATGATAACCAATTGATACATACAGATTTGACTTCTATAGATGAACTATATGGATAGTACAAGGCCTACAAAAATGGGCCACAATGAAACCTGTAGCAATTTTGGTTCTACTAGTTAAGATAGGCTTAAGAATTATACTCATGAAAATGTTACAATTATAACAGAGGGCTTGCAAACTTTGTAACATTCCATTGATCCTAAATACTTATTGCATATTCAATTTACACATGTGGGAGCTTCCATAGCCAAATTGTCAATATTCACCCACACACAAGGCAAAGCTGTCACCAGGCTCAGAAACCCTAAGGTTTATAAAAGTATAACAAAAATCTTTAGGAAAACTCTTAAGAGTACGAACTCCCCCCTAAACAGCCCAATGAGGTATGAGCATGCTTAGTAGGTATGGAATCTTAACCTTGAGGCACAGAATGGAATGTCTGCAACTGGTAGAATGGAGTATTCTAGAAGAAAGCATGAATGGCTGAGACCTTCAATAAGAGTACTTCACTGCAACATCCTGTTGGAGGACTACTGATTTTAACAAAAATCTCAAATAAACCAAGTGAGATGTAAGCATAGAACAAAGACTGAAGAACTAGACAAGATGGTGCTTAGAAATGCCAACACTAGCAGACCCTATACCTATCAACACCAGGATTAATGGGAAAAAAAGGAAGTTTAAAATGAAAAATGAATACAGACTTAATACACTCCATTCTAAAAAACTGCTGGCCAAGATATAAAGAACTAGTTTCAGTAAGGCAAGTTTTATTAAGAGGTGTTTAAACTCACTTTTCTCAAGTAGCAACCTCCACCCAAACTGCCACATGGTAAATTGTTTTAGACATTTACATGAGCTTGGCATCAAATGCTCAAACATAATCAATAAAGAAGCATAAGTAAAACCATGAAAATGGCTAAAAAAATTGGATGCAGACCAATTGTCCTATGTCCACTGATTTCAAAGTATCTTTAGGGTCACAGTCTTCAGAAAGAAAGCTATACTATACTTCATGTCAGTTTCAAATCAACTTGAATGAAGAAAGTGTTTTGAGACGTCTTACTGTGCCTGGTCTGTTGTAAAGAAGTTTATGCAGATTTCGAAGTTCATCTGTTTTCTTTTTGCTCAAGAAGTACTGTATCCGTTCAATTTCACAAAGTTTTTGTCCCTTTCCTGAAAGAAGGAACGTGTTATATTAAATTTAGTCATAACATTAATACTTAAATGTTTACTAAATCATACCTTCAAGAACACAGGAGGCTACCTCATGGTTCATATAACTATTAGTTGAATATTTAACTAATTGCCTGTAAATTGTGGCTCAGAGACTTGAGAAACACACACATAATTAAACATTCAGTGTGTGTCCCTTGTTAGACTGGATAACATAAAGCCAAGTGATGAAAATTACAAAGCACAACTACCTCCAAATGTGTATTTACTAAGCACCAGAAACAATCTTTCAATGGTATGAGCCTATGAATGGCTCACAAGGCCCAGCACAATAGTTTTCTTCATTTGTACTGGAAAGACTAAGAACATGGCTCTCTTGTGGATTTCAAAGCCTGCACAAAGAGTCAGGTGCAAACAAATGTTAGGCAAATAACATGGGAGATAGACTTGCCATTTAATTGAGCTATACTTCCAAATTTAGGTCTGAACTGGAATGGCTGGAATGCAAATTGTTGGTTGTATCACTGTGGCACAAATCTATTAATAGGATTAGATGACAGTATCATATCTAAACATACACTGATGTCCTATTAAATTTTTAGAAGCATATGAACTCTAGTTTAACATTTGTTAAAGACTACAAAAGAACAAAGGTAATCATAGTCAATATACAATATTCTTAAAACAACTTGCCAGGTGTAATTGTAAAAGGTTCCTTTTGCAATGAAGACACTTGCATGGTCAACCTTTCTACTTTTTTCTTCTCTCTCTTTCCTTCGACAATGAGACTCTTTTCTGTAAGACAACCATACATACTTCTTTCACAAAAAATAGAAAGGCTATACAAGAAAAACATAAGACCTACAAAACAAGTATTCTAAGTACTTCTAAAAACACTGGCATTTGACTGAATCCATTCTACTTATCAGTCTATATTGCTTAGATGTTAACAAATAACAGTCAGGTATTGTTAAGTATTAACTTTCTTAGAACTAAAATGATAATTCAATCATTAACTGGTTCAATATGTAGGTTAATTGCAAAATAATTAAGTGTTACTGAAGAAGAAAGTTAACTATTTTTAAAATGTAATCATTAACATGTAATGAATTATTCTAACCTAACAATGGTCTACAAATGTGAAAAAACTGCAACAGTTTAAGTTTCTATCTTGGAACAGCAGGCTGAGCCTACAGATCCAGAAATAAAAATAGCAACAGAAGCGCCTTATTGGCTATTGGGGTGGTTTAGAAATTTAATACATAAATTTAATAAAATAAATCAACAGATTAACCATGAAAAAAGATGTCAAATTTTTAAGAGAGTTGTATTAAATAGGCAGCAAGTTAATTCATCAATCAATATCATTATTTCTGAAATATCTGACTGATATGCTAATCCAAATATACAGACACCATCCATTCTCTCCCAACTAACTTCCTGAATAAGTGCAGTCTGAGGACAGGGACAGATTCCCTACCAAAATTTCAACCTGCAAACCCAAAACTGGAGGTAGCATTTCCTTCTTGTACACATCCGATGGCATTACCCTTCATGTACTAGCATGCTAAGACCATGTAACAAACCAACACTTTATGTATATACATATGTACCAGCTTTCTACTTTATGTTCACCTGGAGCAATTGCTATTCATCTAAGGGGAGCAGCAAATTACATGTTTGGATGAATGTTCAATGCTTTTGAAGCTCCTTCAGGTATGACGCCTGTTTTACTTGTTAAGAAACCATCTTTTCCATAGTAACTTAGCAGAGATAATAAAACTTTCCTCAAGAGTATTGTAATTTGTAAACCACAAGCAAGCATTTAAACCTACATTCAGAAAGTAAGAAAATATACCTAGACATTGGACTGAACTAACTTTATTGCCCTGTCCACTGTCTAACAGGAAATATTTGCCAATTCCTACATTAGAGAAATGTTATCATAATCTGACTGAAGCCCTTACAAAGGCTCAAAAGGCAGTTCTGTGGAAAATAAAGACAACTAGCCCCTGTAAGTACTAAAATGTATATTCCCCAGAAAATATTTTCTAGTGCAAATTCAAAGACTGGTGGAAATGGCATCAACAGGCCATTCACCATACTTCTCAATGCTCCTGTTCTCATTTAACAGGGGTAAATCACAAGTTAATTAATTGCCACACAGTGTGCTGCACATCCCCTTCATGGATCACTGCATTGCCGTGGCGAGGGGCTTGTGTAGTGCAATGAAGCTATGAGCTATGTCATGCAGGGGCCCCCAAGACAGGTCATAGCAGACAGGTGGGGCTAGATTAATCCCAAATTGGAATTAAAATTGCTAGGAGAAATATCAACAACGTCAGATATGCAGTTGATGCCACTCTTGATGCGGGTGAAAGAGGAGAGCGCAAAAGTTGGCTTGAAACTCAACATTAAGAAAACTAAGATCATGGCATCTGGTCCTATCACTTCCTGGCAAATAGATGGGGAAGAAATGGAGGCAGTGACAGATTTTATTTTCCTGGGCTCCAAGATCACCGCAGTTGGGGACTGCAGCCAAGAAATTAAAAGACGCTTGCTCCTTGGGAGGAAAGCTATGGCAAATCTAGACAGCATACTAAAAAGCAGACATCACCCTGTGAAAGTGTGTATAGTCAAGGCTACGGTTTTCCCAGTTGCAATGTATGGCTGTGAAAGCTGGACCATAAGGAAGGCTGAGCACTGAAGAATTGATGCCTTTGAATTGTGTTGCTGGAGAAGATTCCTGCGAGTTCCTTGAACGGCAAGGAGGTCAAACAAGTCAGTCCTAGAGGAGATCAACCCTGACTGCTCTTTAGAAGGCCAGATACTGAAGATGAAACTCAAATACTTTGGCCACCTAATGAGAAGGGAGGACTCACTGGAGAAGAGTCTAATGCTGGGAACAATAGAGGGCAAAAGAAGAAGGGGACGGCAGAGAATGAGGTGGCTAGATGGAATCACTGAAGTAATTGGTGTGAGCTTAAGTCATGGGTCCTCAAATTATGGCCCGCGACAGTTCTGGCCCGCCATGGCCAGCTATCCAACCCTCACTGCCATTTGCCACCTGCACGTGCTTGCTGTGCAGGCGGGGAGGTGGTGGCTCGCTCGCTCAGAGATGGTCTCCGAGCGAGCAAGCTGCCTGCCTCTCATACAAGCTGCCTTGCAGCACAGGCGGGGAGATGGTGGCTGGCTCACTTGGAGATGATCTCCAAGCAAGCAAGCTGCCACCACCTGTCTCCAATATGCACGCACTTGCCACTGCCTCACAGCGCGGGCAGGGAGGTGGTGACTTGCTCACTAGGAGATGGTTTTGGGCTCACTGGGAGATCTCCGAGCGATCAAGCCACTGCTGCGCGGGCCCGATGCCGCCTTGCACGTGCCCAACGGCATTTCACCAGCCTGTGCCCCCAGGCACCCCCACCTCACCAGCCCCACAGCCTTTCAACTGGCCCCCTATTCAAAAAGTTTGAGGACCCCTGGCTTAAGTGGACTCCGGGGGATGGTGGAGGACAGGAAGGCCTGGAGGAATGTTGTCCATGGAGTCGCGATGGGTCAAACACAACTTCCCAACTAGCAAGCAAATGCTGGACATGTGCATCTGATGATTCTTTAAATGCCAAGAGTTCAAGGGCTTAAAATTATTTAAGGTACACCCCATGGGATTTTATCTTTAGAATCTCAGGTGCTTAATGAAGATGAAAATATGAGAAATGTGCAATATATCTAGAAACTCTTTTAATAACCAGAGGGTATTCGGCTCAATATAATCTAGATCTTTTTCCAAATCTTGTAGTGTTCTAAAATAGAAGACATATTTCTGTTACACAGAACACCATATAGCCTTTTATATGATTCTCAGATTCTTTTAATGAAACTAATAATACATATTTGGAAACTTGTAATTCAAAGTAATACTGTGTGTGAAAAGAATTTTTCAAATGCAGTTCAATGTTGAATTTTCTTCCAAAGGGTTTCTGCTTATTTTATTTTTTTATTTATTAAAACATTTTATGCCGCCCCATTTGCCGAGGCTTAGATGAGGACAAGGGTAGGAGAGGACATAATAATGTCCTGTTGCACATACAACCCCTTATATATTTAGATTAGTGCAGATTCTTCCATTCTTTATGTGGTCATACACCTACCTTTTTCTTCTTCCTCCTCTTCCTCCTCTTCACTATCTTCAACTTTGTTTTCAATCTCTGGTTCTATTTCTTCTGTTTGCTCGACGGGCAATGAACCATCTTTTTCAGAAACAGAAGACATGACTGATTCTTCTGCATAGAAATATGTCAACATGACTTTAGTATGAAAATAATATTTGAAGCATGCATATCAATCTTTTTTGTAGCATAAGATGATGCTCTGCTTTGTAACAAACCTTTTACAGCCTAAAGATTTGTGTAACCATTTTACAGTTCTGACACTGCTGATTGTATGTACTAGAAAAATCAGATGGCTAACAAATATGTTGTTAAAGAATAACACAGGGAAGGAATGTTCAATCATTTGTAAACGTTGGGGTAAGTAACCACTTGTTCCAAGAAGAGCCTCTGTTCTATTCAAGCTAGTTACACACAGCATTGTTTATCCTCTGCTATTCTTCACACACCACATATGCTACTTTGTTAAAAGAAAAAAATCTATAATACAATTTCAGTTGCACACAATTAGACTACATAAAGTCTAGAATGGACCTTCTCTGTTCTCTATATCTACGTAGTCTGAATGCCTCCTGTCACTTTTTTGTATCTAAAGCAACCTGTTGTGTCTTTGTTATACATTGTTGTTGTTGTTAGTCGGAAGTTGTGTCCGACCCATCGTGACCCCATGGACAACATTCCTCCAGGCCTTCCTGTCCTCCACCATCCCCCCCCCCAGTCCACTCAAGCACACACCAACTGCTTTAGTGACTCCATCTAACCACCTCATTCTCTGCCGTCCCCTCCTCCTTTTGCCATCTATTGTTCCCAGCATTAGGCTCTTCTCCAGGGAGTCCTTCCTTCTCATTAGGTGGACAAAGTATTTCAGTTTCATCTTCAGGATCTGGCCTTCGAAAGAGCAGTCAGGGTTGATCTCCTCTAGGACTGACTGGTTTGATTGCCTTGCTGTCCAAGGAACTCACAGGAGTCTCCGCCAGCACCACAATTCAAAGGCATCAATTCTTTGGCGCTCAGCCTTCCTTATGGTCCAACTTTCACAGCCATACATTGCAATTGGGAAAGCCATAGCTTTGACTAGACACACTTTTGTTGGCAGGGTGATATCTCTGCTTTTTAGCATGCTATCTAGATTTATCATAGTTTTCCTCCCCAGGAGCGTCTTTTAATTTCTTGGCTGCAGTCCCCATCTGCGGTGATCTTGGAGCCCAGGAAATTAAAATCTGTCACTACCTCCATTTCTTCCTCATCTTTTTGCCAGGAAGTGAGAGGACCGGATGCCATGATCTTAGTTTTCTTAATGTTGAGGTTCAAGCCAACTTTTGCGCTCTCCTCCTTCACCCACATCCAGAGGCCCTTTAGTTCCTCTTCACTTTCTGCCATTAGAGTGGTATCATCTGCATATCTGAGGTTGTTGATATTTCTCCCACCAATCTTAATTCCAACTGGTGATTCATCTAGCCCCGCCTTTCTCATGATGTGCTCTGCATATAAGTTAAATAGGCAGGATGACAGTATACAGCCGTGCCGAACTCCTTTCTCAATTTTGAACCAATCAGTGGTTCCGTGTCCAGTTCTCACTGTTGCTTCTTGACCTGCATATAGGTTTCTCAAGAGACAAATAAGATGGTCTGGTACTCCCATCTCTTTAAGAACTTGCCACAATTTGCTGTGATCCACACAATCAAAGGCTTTAGCATAGTCAATGAAGCAGAAGTAGATGTTTTTCTGGTACTCCCTAGCTTTTTCCATGATCCAGCGTATGTTGGCAATTTGATCTCTAGTTCTTCTCCCTCTTCGAAATCCTGCCTGTACTTCTGGTAGTTCTCAGTCCACATGCCGCTGGAGCATAGCTTGTAGGATTTTGAGCATAACTATGCTAGCATGTGAAATGAGTGCAATGGTGTGGTAGTTTGAACATTCTTTGGCATTGCCCTTCTTTCGGATGGGAATGTAAACTGACCTTTTCTAGTTCTGTATCCACTACTGAGTTTTCCAAATTTGCTGGCATATTGAGTGTAGCACTTTTACTGCATCGTCTTTTAAGATTCTGAATAGCTCACCTGGAATACTGTCACCTCCACTAGCTTTGTTGTTGCTCAGACTCTAGCTCGAGGTCAGTGACCACCCTATCATGCTTATCAGGGACGTTAAGCTCTCTCTTGTATAGTTCCTGTGCAATCTTGCCTCCTCTTCTTAATCTCTTCTGCCTCTGTTAGGTCTCTGCCATTTTGGTCGTTTATCATGCCCATCTTTGCATGAAACGTTCCCTTCATATCTCCAATTTTCTTGAAGAGATCTCTGGTCCTCCCTATTCTATTGTTTTCTTCTATTTCTTTGCACGGTTCATTTAAGAAGGCATTCTTATCTCTTCTAGCTATTCTCTGGAATTCTGCATTCAATTGGGTGTGTCTTTCTCTTTCTACTTTGCCTTTCACTTGCCTTCTTTCCTCAGCTATTTGTAAAGCTTCCTCAGACAGCCATTTTGCTTTCTTGCATTTCTTTTTCTTTGGGATGGTTTTAGTTGCTACCTCTTGTACAGTGTTGCGAACCTCCGTCCAAAGTTCTTCATACACTCTGTCTCTCAGATCTAATTCCTTAAATCTGTTGGTCATCTCTACTGTATATTCATCAGGGATATGATTTAGGTCATACCTGAGTGTCCTAGTGCTTTTCTCTACTTTCTTCAATTTATGCCTAAATTTGCAACAAGCTCATGATCTGACCCACAGTCAGCTCCTGGTCTAGTTTTTACTGACTGTATAGATCTTCTCCATCTTTGGCTGCAGAGCACATAGTCAATCTGATTTCTGTGTTGACCATCTGGTTATGTCCACGTGTAGAGTCGTCTCTTGGGTTGTTGGAAAATAGTGTTGGCTATGACCGTGTGGTGCAGTGGTTAAGAGCATGGGACTGGGACTCAAACGATCTGGGTTCTAGTCCCCGCTCAGCCATGAAGCCAACTGGGAGACTTTGGGCCAGTCACAGACTCTCAGCCCAACCTACCTCACAGGGTGTTGTTGTGGGGATAAGATGTAGAAGGAGAATGATGTAAGCAGCCTTGAGCCCTTTGAGGGAAAAGGCAGGATATAAATTGAAAAATAAATAAATAAAAATAAAATAAATAAATGACCATCGTATTCTTTTGACAAAATTCTACCAGCCTGTGCCCTGCTTCATTTTGTACTCCAAGGCCAAACTTGCCTGTTATTCCGGTTATCTTTTGACTTCCTACTTTAGCATTCCAATCCCCCATGATGATAAGGACATCATTTGTTGGTGTTAATTCTAGAAGATGTTGTAGGCCTTCACAGAACCAGTCAACTTCAGCCTCTTCAGCACCACTGGTTGGGGCATAGACTTGGACTACTGTGATGTTGAATGGTTTGCCTTGGATTTGAACTGAGATCATTCTGTCATTTTGGAGATTGTATCCCAGTACTGCTTTTCCTACTCTTTTATTGACTATGAAGGCTACTTCATTTTTTCTGAGGGACTCTTTCCTGCAGTAGTATACCTGATGGTCATCTGAATTAAATTCACCCATTCCTGTCCATTTTAGTTCACTGATTCCTAAGATGTCAATGTTCAGTCTTGTCATCTCTTGTTTGACCACATCCAGCTTGCCTTGATTCATGGATCTTACATTCCAGGTTGCTATGGAGTATAGATCTTTACAGCATTGGACTCTCACCACCAGATAAATCTGTCATTCCTTCTGGCGCTACTAGTACTAGCCCTCTGCTCTTCCCCAGTAGCATACTGGTCACCTTCCAACCTGAGGGGTTCATCTTCCGGCGTCATGTCTTTTTGCCTTTTGGTACTGTCCATGGGGTTTTCATGGCAAAAATACTGGAGTGGGTTGCCATTTCCTTCTCTAGTGGATCATGTTTTGTCAGCGCTTTCTGCTATGACCTGTCCGTCTTGGGTGGCCCCGCACGGCATAGCTCATAGCTTCATTGAGCTACGCAAGCCCCTTTGCCACAACAAGGCAGTGATCCATGAAGGAATTGTTATACATACTACTTATACATACTACTTCTCTAAAAGGTTTTGATATTAAAAATCCCATTTTATGCAACTTGTAAATATTAGATGCAGATTAAAGCACAGGAGTTGAGCAGATGCAGAGAAACTAAACTTGGACAAACCTTGCACAAATAAGGTTGACTCCTCCAATAGTCATGCTTACCGTAAACCCACTGCTATCAATGTGATAAGTCACGACTGATTTGATGTAATTTAAGAACACAGACCTGAGCAACGGTGATCTTTTGTTCAGAATGGATCCATTTTTTGTCTAACTCTCCAGCAAGTATGAGTAAATTCTCCATTTATATAATCTGCTTCTACCAAAATGCCACTTCTTTCCTAAGAATTATAATTTTCTGGAGCTTTCGGGGCCCATGACACAAAGACACACAGAAGCGTTGCTGGGCTTCCTTCCCACTACAGCGAGGCTGGCTAGCAAGGGCAATGACAGACAACAGAATTCCGGCGGGAAAAAAAGAGTTCGCGCGGGGAAGGCGTCAGGCCCCACGCCCGGAACGCCTTCAAGGGAAGGGACAGATGAAATGACGGCTCTCCCTCGGGAGCGGGGCCGTCTGCTTTCTAAGCCGTGCTCGACCGAACACCGCGCGCGGGCCGGAACGCCTCAAAAGCCACCCCTCCGCCCAGGCCCGTTGGAACCTTCCTTCCCCGTGACCGTTAGCACGGAACACCCACCTGGCCAGAGACGGGCACCGCGGGGCGCTTCTCAGAAAGTGGAAACGGCAACGCCGGGAGCCGAGGCAACCGCGAACAGAGCACTACAGCCCCCCTCAGGGAATAAGAGCCCGGAATGGTAGAGAGGGAGGGGGCGGGACTTAAGGCGTGCGCCTGGCGTTACTCCACTCTCCCCAGAAAAATCAACAACGTTTCAAAATGGCGGGTTGTCAAAAGGGAAGAAGGAAGCGGGAAATCGCTAGCCAATCGATGCTCGGACGCGTTCCGCGTAAGGCGGGGTTTGGAAAGTGATGGACAGGAAGGAAGGGAAGGGGTAGAGCAGGGGCGGAGGGAGTTTACTTTGGAGGAAGTTGTAAGTGGGGTTGGCTTTGGGGGGCGTGGGAGCGCGACTCGGTATGGACGCCGTTGCCCTTTGTTGTGGCTCTCGCGGCTCGCGCATTTTTGCAGCAGCGGGAGGGTGAAGGCGCACTTTCAAAACCGGAGCACCGAGAAAGGCTTTGCTCCTTAGCTCTCTGGTTCTTTTTTAAGCTCGGGCAGGCCTGCTGTGCACTCTGTAACTAGGGTCTTCTTTGCAAGCGAGCTCGTTGTGCCCGGTGGCTCTTCCGCTTCCAAGCAAATCATGAAGGATCTCTGCACTACGCAAGTGCTAGTCCGCCCGCGTAGGTGAGAGGAAGTCTCCCTGAAATCACGGCGATTTCTAAGGAAACGTGGATGCGATGGGGATTCAGTTACACCTATGTGAAATTTCCAGAGGAGTAGCCTGTTCGCCAGCAGCAGCAAAGAAGAAAGGATCTCGTGGCACTTTAATACATTTATTTATCGTGACGTATGTTCCCATAGACACTGCACTTCATCACATGCATGTAGCGTTAACCTCAAATTGTACAGATTGTGTGTGTGTTTGTGTGTGTGTGTAATGGAAACAGTGTTGTCACAAAAAGAATTGCTTTAACTACTGTTGTTTGTTGTTATGTGCTGTAGGAAAGTTTTCATGTAAAAAATTTACAGAAAACGAATTCATGAGCTAAGGTGGGAGATTAGTACAGGAGAAAATCTTCACCTAGTCAGTATGGTAATAGTGTCTGTGTTTAAGCAGATAAATAATGTGCCTTTATATTAACCATATCTTGCCACTTTGGTTCTTATGCAACGATCAGGGTAGCTTACAACACTTAAGAAACTTATGAAATCTTCTGCAACAAACACAGAAACTGCAGACAAAACATAACCTTTACATGGAACAGAAATTAGCAGGCAAAAGTTTGCCAGAATGAAAACTTCTCACATTCTTCCATATAAGCCTGGCTGAGTACAAGGTCGTCAGGAAAGCCCCTTTTTTCTGATAACAAACGTAGAAGGAAATTAACCAGGCAAGACTACACATACCAGACAGGCATTTGAGCATACCTGAGAAAGTAAAATAATATGAACATATATACAGCCCCTCTTTCATATTTTGTGGCTTCAAAACCCCCCAACCAGCTAACAAAAAGGGATAGCAATTAGAATGAGGAGAATAGGCAAGAGATATTCTGTGATATCAGCTTGAAGGAGTGAGAGAACAAGCCACGGTGAGCCTGATAATCTGTTTGACACAACATGGGTTGCGCACAACACAGCCAATATTTCTTAAGACATCTTTTACTAAACCTTAATGATCATGGAGCTGTGGGAACCAACCTTCCTTCCTTCCTTCCTTCCTTCCTTCCTTCCTTCCTTCAAAAAAAAAAGTCCTAAAATTTAGTCATGAGTGAGCAGGTTGAAGGAAACCCTTACACTTTCTAGGTTTGACTCAGCCTGCTGCTCAAGGATCAGACATGCAAAGTAGCAAACATCAGGATTTCTGGGATAAGGGGGCAGATAAACTTTCTCTAGTATGTATAATAAAGTGATGTTGGTTTCCTTGTGGAAAAGACAGAAAAAGTATGTGCTGTGCTTGAGAAGGGAGATGGAAGTTAATCTGCCTTCCTGTCATTTTTGGGCTTGCTGTCACTTTTTGGAAATGTATGAGAGAACAGGAACAAGCTGGAACACAGCATATTCTAGGAAGTGAAAAAGCAGGTTAAAAAATAAAGTTAGCAATGACTGTGACATAGGAATGCAAAGGTCTGAAATCAGGCAAGTGGTCATGGTGTGGGCAAGGTGTTGTGCCTGTCTTAAACATCCCTGGCTAGATACGGTTCTCCTCCGAGATTAGGCCTGTGGGTAAGAGGTTCCTTTTACATGTTTTTTGGCTATGCTTAAAAGTCCCATCTCCATAAGTTTGATGATGAGTTTAGCTATACATATAGTATCTTGCTTTGTTTATAGCTATATACATCAATTGCCTTTTTACTGCCAGACTGTGGTAAATATATACACAAAAGCTAAATAGCAACAACTTCTGTTCTGAGTTTTGTTAGAAGCACCCATATAGTAAATAATCTGGTAATAGAGGATCTTGCATATACAGTGGGTACACAGGACTCCTTTCTTTGGAGAGCGAACTTCCTTATTCTCCATACCCACAGGCAGTAACTGTGGGAATCCTTAGAGACAGACTCTTTCTAGCACTGTATTCCTGAAATATAGAATGAATTTGCCCTTTGTAGGAGGAGGAGGAGCCTTCAGACACAAACTGCCTGTATGAATTGCTGAATGGACTGCTGCAGCTTTAAGGCCCCTTGTCAGGCTAGGCCAGTTCCTGCAAGAGCAATTGTGGCATTCTCAGCCGAACTGAGGATGTATATGCAGCAAAGAAGTTTCCTGTACTAGGATGCCTAATGTGCAGGGACATGAAGTTTTGAAACTTCTGCAATTTCTCTGGAAAATGTGGAAATATGATAAGTTAGGAGTAAAAGGAAATGTAGAGTAAAAATGAGAAATGTGACCAAAGGCTAGCTACAAAGGATTTTTTTTTTAAAAAAATACCTGAGTCTGAAGCTGTCATTAGTGTCCTCTGCTGTGCTGAAGAAACTGTTGAAGTTACAAAGGAAAAAAACAAGTAAGTTGCACCTGGCAGAAACAACTCTTTAAGCTGTTTCTATCACTATTAACTGCCAAGACAGAAGAGAAAAGTGAAATACCCTCTACATAGCTGAACAATGGTAAATATTAAAGTTTTTTTTCCCAGAGATTGTCATGCATATTGTAGATTTAATTTTCTCTCCCTTGATAATTTCTGCCTGTATGTCTTTTGCAAATGGTCTGCTTTACACAGTTATGGCAAGGCATTGCATTCATATTTGTGGTGAAAAAGTGTGTGTGTGTGTGTGTTGGGCAGGATGTCTTCTACAGGATCAGTTACTCTTTTACCACAGTTTTTTTCAAGCAGCTACATCTACTAACATACTGTGGCCAGTGTACAAACACAGAGGAAACTTGTAGTCTTGTTGAAGTCAGAGGAAATTTACTTCAAGAGACCTGGAAAGTTGCTGGATATACAAAAGTTAAAGAATACACTCCGACATTTTCAACAGCTGGACTCTACAGACCACTTACAAATATTGTAATACTTGAACATCTGACAGAGTAAAATATATAGATGAACTTAATTTGGTTCATGATGTGGAAATAAATGAATGCTATGATGCTTTCATAGCCAAATAATTGGTAAAATATTAACTTTCAATATATCCTTTATCACCCAAAAGCTGATTTTCCATGTAGTTGTTTATTTTGTTTATATGTAGTACCTGATCATGAATTTCTTACTGTTATGGGGCCATGACAAAAGTTGTGTTGTCTTATACTAGTTAAGAGAGAGCTCAGGAATCCTGGGTTGAGTCTCACCACTGCCACAAACTTACTTGGTTGCCTTAAGCAAGCTACATTTTCTTCACCTGCAGTATTAGGGCTAATAATGCTGACTTATCTTGAGGAATAGGGTTAGAGAATGCATGTTAAATAATTTGAACCCTGAAAAGCACAGTACAAATGTGTCACACAAAGGCAGACAGTATTTGCAGCTGCAAAATGAACCCAGTTGGCAAGTAATCTGTTTACCAGTCACAGTTCCTAAGGATGTGAATAAGACTGTTGAAGAGGTGAGTTTGACTCTTGCCATTCTTGACTTACTAGGGAGGACTGGCCAGATGGGCAGTGGTGAATGCCTCTTTAAAACAGAAGGTAATTACATCATGCCTAAGAGATAGCAGCAAGTGTTTTGTTAAGAAAACTCCCTGAATTCTACTGTGATAGACAATTTCTGGTCAGTCTCCAGTATTTCATCTTTGCACAAGATGCTGGAGTATGCAGTGGTGTATCAGCTCCATGGATTTCTGTCCAAGCCAAATTAATTACTAGATCTATGTCAATCTGGATTCAAATCATCCTATGTGACAAAACTGATCAAGTTATGGTGCCAGTAACTGGCTATTTGTCCCTCTTAACTTTTGATGCATTTCAGTCATTTTCATGAACTCTGATATCCTTCTGGATTGCCTGGCTTGGAGGTCCTGTTTGCTGGTGGTTCCAGTCTTTTTTGGAGGAAAGATTTCAGGAGTGCTGGGGCACTCCTATAGTATCCCTCAGGTTTCCCTTACTATATTTAACATGTAAGTGAAATAGCTGAAAGAGGTGGTCTAGAGATGTGGGATTTGGTGCCTCCAATATGTTGATAACATGCAACTGTATCTCCTTTTTCCGTCTTAATTAAAGGAAACTTCTAAATATCAGATTCCTTTAATGGACTGGAGGAGGGCAAACAAATTGAAGCTTAATCAGGATGTGTTCTGCATCAGTTGAAAGGCAGACGAGGGAAGAGGAATTCAGTGTGTTTTGGAGGACTTACATTCCCCTTTGAAGACTCAGGTTCCAAAGGAGTCCAGGAATATATTTGTACATCTCTGGCTAGTTTGGCAACTGTGCCCGTTCCTGGAGATGTCAGATCTCTCTGCAGTGATACATGACTTAGGTATAACTCATTTGGACTACTGTAATGAGCCTATATAAGTCTACTTTGAAAAGTGGCCATCCTGTGACATCTAGTAAGAGATTTAATAGCTGGGTTCATATACACCTGAGATATAGAATCACTGGGTAGTTTTATGCAATTCTTTCAGCTTAACACTGCCTACACCATGCCTTTTGTAACATTTACTTATTTTGTTTGCCTTTGTGCCTGTTTCAGTCCTTCCTTGTTCTTTTTCATGTCCTGCCCTTATGTATTGTTAACACACACATACAAAGTTCAACACAAGAAAAACCAGTTTACTTGTAGATATGCATTAA